ACCAGGATCAGTGCAGCTCAATTGGACGTATTCATGCTGAAAGGAGCTATGGCGCACTCGAGACCGTTGCACATAGTTCCTTTCAGCCTAAATGCGTTTAATTCAGGCTCCGAAACTGAGGCTGCGGAGTCTGCATCTTCTCATCGGCGTTATTTTAATTTACGGCTGAAAAGGTGCCGAGGAGCGTCGTCGCGGAGCTGTCAAATAAATTGGAGAACACATCGTCGCCCCTTTGACAAAAGGGCGTAACTCAATGTCTACGTGAGCCCTTTTTTACACATGAATCCATGCTTCCTGAGGTTCATGCGGAAATCAAGATACGCTGTTACGCCAGAGCAGCGACGATATGAGCATCGTTGCCAAGTATCTCACAGCAATTCTACCGTGCTAAGGAAGAACACCGTATGAGCATTCGAGAGGTGCCAAATTTCTCTTGATATAATATGTATTTTTGACGGCAATCATGCACATTTTGCTTCGAAATTTTCAGATATTTTAGATTGAGTTGCGTACGAAATTCTGTAAAATTTTTGGAAAAGAATATTCACAATTTTCTCTGTAAATTCGGTTTTTATCGAAGGAATCTTGGCAACGCCTGAAGGCTCATACGGCGTTTTTCCTTAGCACGGCGGAATTAGTCGCTCGACACAGCTTCTTATGAATTAATGACAACGCAGGATATAAACGTTAATCCGGATTAAAGTTTAATGAAAAGACGCATGACAAATTAAGGGCTCGGCGTGTGCGGGAAGGGGAGGGGGGGCGCGGGTGACGAAATCGAGAGCAAGGATTGAGAGCCGTTGACAAGAAAAATGTATTAAAAACGGTTACTTACGTCGCCTCTACAAAAATAGTTACGGCCAGCCTTCGCCAGAGGTCCCTAAAGAAACGCATTAATCTTGTGAGAGACCGGCAAGGGAGCGCATCGGAGCCGAAAGTCTTCGTAGATGCCGCTTTTCGGTGGAAAAAGTTTGTTTCAGTTCGTCGTTTCCCAAGTGAAGGAACGTAATTCCATTCTAAGGTTGCAAAATTGACTTAAAAAATTATTTTTTTTATAAAAATGTACCTGGGCAATTTTCGTCCAATTTTTTTTTTCTTTCAAATTTGATTTTTGCATAAGATCAGAAGAAAAATGAGAGAAATTTTCAACTAGAATCCCCATGATTTTCCTGGTAAAAATTTAATTTTCGAGGGGAAATTTGGCAACATTTAAATTTAGTTACGTTCTCTCGTGAAAAGGACGACAAATTGGACGTATTTCCATCAAACAGAACTATGTGTAGAGGGAAAGATGGGGTGTGCTTGTTCGTTCTCGGGCCATCAGAATAAATGGGCGCCAGTGACGTCAGCGGCAATGACGAAAGAAACGATGTTCGGGGCAGTCTTTACCTCATGAGCCCTGTCCACAAGGCTCTTATCACACGAATTCACACACACAACAAATAATGGACCAACCAAGAGGAGATATATTTCTGTCTTGAACTAGACAAATTTATGTTAAAAGAAACACCAAACACACAAATTCTATGTGCATTAATCCTTCATGGTGACTTTCAACATAAATGTCAATTTGGCAAGCGTGTGAATCGATATAAATGAATAGTAATCCATATCTACTCGACTGCCCATTTGGTCGGGAGCTCGTCAAATTGAATACAAAAAGTCAATTTAATTTCCCTATGAGCCTTATGAGAACAAGACTACTCGACTGTTATGATCTGACGATAATATCAGCGGTATTGCCTCAATCCTCACATTTTTTGTCGTGAATTCGTTCTTAAGGCCGATGCATTTGTAACGCCCGATTGAATTTGAATTACTGCATGAAAGAATGATTTTTTGAGCGTGATTTCTACTTTTAACCCCTTTACGTGGAATGAACCGTGCCGAAAGCCATCGGTATGGAGGCGAAAAAAAAATGAAGCGCCTTCTTTTTTGTGCACGCAATACGCACATCCATTGAACACGAATAGTTGCATGCAGGCGCCTTGGCGAATGAGAGCGCCACGCTCTCTCAGTTTTACGATTTTGCTTACTGCCGTTCTATAAGTAAAAATGCCGTATAAACCTTCAGGCGTTGCCAAATTTCCTTTGACATATCACTAATTTTCAAGAAAATTTGTAAATATTTTTCTTTCAATTTCCCAGGTAATTTTGCTTGCTATTTGATCTAAAAAGTCTGTTTCAAGGAAAAATATCGACAATTTTCCTCAAAAATAAACATTTTATCGATGTAAATTTGGGAATCCTCGAATGTTTTTACGGCGTTCTTCCTTAGCAAGACAGCGTAGTTATGTTAAAAGGAACTACATCGACGATGAAACTCTCAAACCACGTATCTCTGTTCAAGACGTTGCAGATTTTCGGTCATACTTTATTTTTTACGTATTTATTTATTTTATACGTGGTTAGAGAGTTTCAACGCCGATATGAAAATTGATTAAATCAAAAGAAACTATGAGTACAGGGTTTCTATGCTACACAGTTCGTATTAGCATAAATATATATCCCATGTAAGGGAATCATCTGCATTTATTTTTAACACAAATACCAAAAAATGGTGATTTGTAAGATAGCTGTATTATTATACTTTTGAGGAACAAGAAAAATAATGCTTAAGAATAGTTTGCTAGGTTCACGGAGGCTTTATATTAGCATGCTTAAAAGTTAAAAAAGAAAAAGAAAAAAAGGAAGCAGAAAAAGAAAGGGGAAATAACAGATCTCTTGCTTAATCGATGTGTATTATATTTTATACAAAACATGATTTATCGATTGCATCAAAAATTGTAAAATGTCGAAATTTTTTAAAGAAAAAATTTCTGAAATTAGCTGTCTTTTTTACAACCTTGCTGGTGGCTATGTCGGCAAAAATTATATTTTGTGTGCATCACAAATTAGTTTGTCCTACTGCAGCACAATCTTTTTTTTTTATCGGTAGCGCTGAAAGTGACGTATAAGAGGAAGCAAAATAAAAAAAGAATGGATGGATTTTCCCGGGAATGGGGAATGCAGTAAATGAAAAAATAACAAGTTTCAATGGAAGTGTATAAAGAGCTTAACTTTATGAACGCGTTCTCCTGCGACTCGATATGGTTTTACGGAAATGCGTTCTAATAACTTACAACTCACGTAAATCTCTCGATTGAATAGACAGGATATTGGTTAATTCACTGGAAAACTGTCTTGCCGATCACTTTTGCATTCAATTTCCTCATAGACTTTCGTGAACTTCCGGGTTGTGAAAGTTCACAGGGTTTCAATTATTTTCTGCCTCCACTCCAAACTACAGTGAGGAATATCTCAGAGACGGAGCAAGTTGTATAAATTATTGTGGCTTTTCCTGGAAATTCAGATTAAAAGGGTTGAGGCTTTATTCCTATTCAGTTATCTTCAAACACGCTGCAGGCATCAATACTAAGACCGTTTCGTGAGGGTTGGTATAGATAAAATGAAACGTTGTAAAGGAAAATACATTCTTTTTATTTTGAACATATTTATCGAAAGATGATTTCAATGTAAATTTGAAAGTTCAAGGGCTTAATCCAGATTAATCATATGATTAAATGTTTTTTTGCGAAAGACCCAGTCGCAGGTGTTTTTCCTTGTTATTTAAGGTGATTCGGTGGACGCTATATTTTGTGTTTAAACGACTTCCGATGTATCGCATTGATTGGTTCCATCATATCAGGTATATACTCGTCATTTTTTCGAATTTTGAGATTGCAATTATTTCGCCAGGAGACTAAAGAATTCACTTACCAATTTTGACCATCAAATTTAACGTAACATTGGCGCGGTCTTTTAAAAGAAAAATATCGCATTTGATACTGATATCGAAACTACTCTCGAATACGATATTTCCTCTCTAAAAAAACCACGCCTTTGTTTGTGAAAATTGGTAAGTGAATTCTTTAGTCTCCTGACAACAAATTAGCGATCTCAAAATTCAAGAAAAATGACGAGCACCTGAAAAAATAGAAACAATCGATCCAATATATTGCATGCCATTCTGACACAATATATAGTGTCCATCGAATCACCTTAAAGCCTTCTGTAAAAAATAACAACAAAAACGGATATGTAACACATTTATATTGGGACTTGTGTTGTTCACATTATGAAGTTCCATTCCTTTACGTGTAGCCGCGGCTCGGCAATGAAGGGGAAGAGTCTTATCAAACAAAGAGAGGTTACTCTCATGCTCAGGATTGTAAAAAAGCTACCCCACCGATGGTGTCCGATGAGCCGTAAAGTCGTCTGCGAGCGCTTAGATTCAGTTATGGCCGAGCAAGCAAATTCGAAATACTTTTTATTGGCTTGCAACCCCATATATGTATTGAATGTTTTCAAAACAACCAGCGGTCTTGCGCGAGTTCATTTCTTTTAATAAAATTCTTGAGGAAGAAAGTTTCTCTATTGTGTAGTAATCGTGTGTCTTATTTTTTTCGTATGTATAGGGGTTGTCGTTGATGTATATTTCAATTTTTGATTTTTAAATAAAAATGCCAAAATGAATTCATGAATATTACTTCATTTTTCAACTGGAAAAAAAAATCACTCAGTGCACTTCACAACTGCACATCATGCAAAATCTGAAGATATGCTCTGTAAGGCGCGGTGATACCACTATTCGACCTCTTGGGAGCTCGGTGTGCCTACTCAATTCATTGAAGGCGTTTTTACTTTCCGTCACTTCACGCTGAATTCCCATGAACTATCGTAATTAGTAACATGAAGATTCTCATTTAAAAATGATTTTTCTTCAGTGACCTTTTCGCATGGTGTGTCAAATGCGATATCACTCTGTGAACGTTTAGAACTATATCTACTTGGTGCCAAATTTTCTCGAAAAATTAGAAATTTTGGAAAACTAATGGTTTTTATTTTTCTAGTTTCTAGGCACCTTCCTCTAGTTTCATTTAACGATAATATCTTTCTTTTTCAAATGTCGAATGTTTGCTATTCTAGAATTAAAATTTGCGATTGATGCTCTGTTACAGTTGCTGGAGACGTATCTTCAATTTGTTGGCATAGGTATTACAAACGCTCAAATAGTAGAAATTTCCCGACAAGAATACGATCGAAATCGGGTAAGTGGATCACTGGAATTATTGACACGTTTGTATTCAATAGAGAACGTTAAATAACGAGAAAAAAGTTAGAAACGATTAAAGTTTGATTTCAAACTAATAAGTTTTAAAGCATGCATGCCAATCTACGGATTCTATATCTTTCCAATAAAAGCAAGAGATAATGCCAGCTCTTGCCAGCTAGACAAACATGGTTCATCTTTATACATTTTTGTGTTTGATAAAAGGAAAAACAAGTGTTTCATTTTGACACTATCTGTTGATATTGTGCGCTATTATTCAATGTAACCAGTTGATTTTACGCAGGCTTTACACTTATTATAAATTATGAAAAGCAGTGCCTTTATTCAAATTGGCCCAAAAGTTAGGTTCTCAAGTTTTCAGAGGAAAACTCTCACCAGTATATATCTAAAAGAATTAGGTACAAGTGATTAGCACAGTTTTGTACTAATAGAGGGCGAAGAGTTGCATATTTATCCGACGTTATTAAGTCTTGAGCGAGGTACATTAAAACTTCATAAGTTTTTTCAAATCATGTTTTTTTTGTGCTTTAAATTGCAAGGTTACAGCAGATGTTTGATAATTTAGAAACTTTTTTATATCAAAATGTTTGCAAGACATTTCTCTACGCAATTGTCCTTCTCAACGTCTTTTATTATCTACACACTAGTACTGAGGCTCCTGGCCCGTGTGCTGTAGCAGACCATCAAATAAAGTCGATGTAGCTGAAGTTTCGGCTTCTCTCATCTCTGCGCTGGGTTTATTTTTTTTTTTTTTAGAAATGAAACCAATGGACAATTTCCCCATAATTATTTGGTGAATTCTCCTTAGGAACTCAAGAATATTAACAAAACACATGGAAGATACATTCTGTTTAGTTTCCCCCCTTTTTCTTTAATGAGGAACATAATTTGAGATTTTTAACGTTGCAATTAAGATTCACGATATTTGACTCTAACTGTCGGGATTGAGTAGAGAAGATGACTTCCTTGAAAATGAATCTATAAAATGGACCGCGTTTAGCAGAAAGGAAACAAGCCACATCAGCTATTACCAAATTTAACTAGGAATTTTAATGTTTTACAAGAGAACGTTTGTGGGGATTCCTATGAACATTTTGAGGAATTCGCTTCACACTGTCCAGAAAATTCACTGAAATTTGCACAAAAATCCGCACAACCGTTTCCATGTAAAGCATTATATGGCACAGTTAAATTTGGTAGTAACCGATGTGACTTGGTTCCTTTCTGCTTAACGCGGTCCAAACTAGAGTCCCTTTATACTGAGAGTCAAGACAATGTGAATCCATTTCTGATTGGTTCCCGTATTTTGAGCCTCCACCACAGTGTCACAAACGGGAATAAAGATTACATTTTCACCGATTGCAAAGATTATAATTTAGAATGAACCGGGGAATGACGGGTTCGACAAGGAACAGACGGAATGAGAGAAGGAACGGAGAAAGGACTTTGAGAATGAGCCGATCAAAGATTACGAAAAACTGTCAATTTGTGTAATCTTTCTCCCCGTTTGTGACTCCATGAGGGGGTGCTGCCTTGACTCTCAGTATAAAAGGACTCTAGTCCAAACCAACACAGTAACTTACCTCCTGCGAGGGAAATTTGACAAAGCTGTCCGCGAATCAGATGACGATTAAAATTTTCAGATGAGCTCCAAGAGGCTGGAGCAATGTTTCGTGGCCCCATTAGCAAGCGACCTCCTTCGAAAATACGTCCCCAGGGAGACATAGCGAAAGGGTCAAAGGGAGAGTATATACTCGGAGAAATATGTAAATTGAGAGGTCCCAGTCCCGCTGGATCACGCCGCAAGAGCAACGCTGCCGCACTTCGGAAAAACGGCGTCAGAACTTTCAGACGTTTTCAGATTTTATCGAATGAAATAAGAATTTTGTTTTAGAATTGCGAGTCTTTCCCTTTGAATTTTTCAGAGATTTTTCTTGCGAATTCATCTGATGTTTCTGAAAAGTTAAGAGAGAAATATTCATACGTTGTTTTGAATATAATATTTTATTGGGGTGAATTTTGCGACGTTCGAATGGTTATACGTCATTCTTCCTTAGCACAGCGGAAGGGAGCGGCGACCTGACGTAGGAAGGAAACGCGCCCTCGCATAGCGGTAAAGGAGTCGTGATTTAGGATTCTCACCCTCGACCCCTAGAGGTTGCCCCGGCCTACCCCAGCCTGCTCCAGCCTCAGACCCAACTCCTATTCAATGTCCAATTTCGTCCTTGCGGAAACTCGACCTATCACTTCGTGTAACTGCCCACTCAGGATCCTCGCGTGATCAACGACTTCTCATATCTTAACAGCGCCAGCGTTACAAAATCGCACCGTGTTATAGCGCATTTTCCGAAGGAAATGCCCAATTTCTTCGATTATGTAGCATCGCGTCCAAGATATTGGACTCCATGCTCATCCTTGATATACTTACCTGCTCATCTCGTCCTTTGAAGATCTTGATCTTGGACTCCATGCTCATCGCTAAACGTCTCACTTCTTTGCTTGAGCATGGAGTCCAAAAGCAAGTAGACCTTCCTTACTTTTAAAGTTCATCATGATAGAAAATCGTATACTTCGCTTATCTAATCTAACCTGAACTAACCTAACCTAACCTAACCTAACCTAACCTAACCTAACCTAACCTAACCTAACCTAACCTAACCTAACCTAACCTTACCTAATCCAACCTAAGCAATGCACAATTTTTTTTCGAGAACACATTTTTTTGTCTTTATTTCACCAAAATTGTCTTAATAAATTTTTGGACCCCATGCTCCTATATTGTCGGAGAATACCTGCGTCCCACAATTTTGGACGCTATGCTCACTTCGATTTTTCGAAAAAATTATCCCTAATTAAAGTGAGCATGGAGTCCAATATCATGGACGCGATGCTACATTACCATTTTTTCGGTTTTTTGTTGTGTTACAATTATGCTCATTTCCTTCGGCCGATGAAAAATTATAAGTCGAATTTCACCAGCCATCGTTCCCTGTTGCGAACCGGGATCTGAGGACCGATGGTCGGTGAATGTTGGGAGGGGACCCCATTATCTCCATGATTTTTCAATGCTTTCCCCCGACACTTGTATACTGGTTTTTTCTGACAACACTTTCATTTGCCAGGAATTTTCACTTTTTCGACAAATATCGGGGATTTTAATTTTTCTTTCAGATCATGACCGTTGAAAATACATGTATTGCCTGCAACGTTTCAAAATCCCTGCTGTCACTTCATGTCAATGTATGGAAAAGACAGGAATTCTTAACAGAATAGCTTGGGTTAAATGGGGAAAATCAACGATAACTCAAGGGATTAATGTTTCTAACACATTTTACAAACAACGTATGTGCCATTAATTTTCCCATGCCAATATGAGAGTCTATCGATGAGCCAGGGTTAGTAGTTTTTCATTGCAAAATGTTACCCAATTTCCTTTTTTCGTTGGTTTCATCAAAAATCGTTACTCCTCTGGCGCAAGGGCGTATTTTGATTTCCGCATACGCCGCAGAAAGCATGGATTTATATATAAAACAGGGTGCACGTTGAAATTGGACTGCATTTTGCAATTTGGAACTATAAATTCTGGCTCCTCGGGGAAAACACTTATGTGCATAGGGAAACTAATGGCACATACGTTGTTTTTAAACCGGATTAGGATTTATAGTTCCAATTTGCAAAATGTAGTCAAATTGAGATCCACTCGTACGTCGGCGAGACGACGATCTCAGGCGCGCAATGAATATTAGTTTTAAAAGAAAGAGCTTCCTCCATTAGTTTCTTTTCGAAATCACGAAAATGTTTCTATACTCCATCCATGGCTAGAAGCTTCAATTACATTCTAAGAATTTTTCTATGCGATACCGATGTTCTTTAATTTTATGGCTTTCAGAAACTTTTGGAGGTTGTTCACGATCTTTTTGAAGAGCAGACATCAATAGAGAAAGTTATTCTAAAAATAATGCAACGGGCTCAAAGACTTCTCAAATGCGAAAGAGCAGCTGTTCTACTCACCGACGAAAATTCAGAGGTAAATAACTATATTCTACCATTAAGAAAGTTTCAAAAATAAAATACACTGTCAGTGTGTTCAAGAATAGTGTTCTGCTCTTTTCAGTAAATGCATAGGTTTCTAAATTTCAGAGTGAGTAGATCAAGTGTAAAAACCTGCCTTTTCTTCATGTATTTTCCTTTCTCCGAGTTAAAAATTTTGAACAAAATTCGAGTTTCCCATCAAAATATATTGGCGAATCCAGCAATTTGGCAACACAATATTTCCTCCATTTACACCTATGGAAATGTATCGATTCTGGGGGGGGGGAGGTGCTCCGATAAGAATCGATTATTCAGCATAGGTTTGAATGGAGGAAATCCGGTGTTGCCAAATTGCTGGATCCGCCTCTGTCAGAAAGTACCCCCTGAAGAGTTTCACAAAAATCGATCAATCGGAGGCCGAGAGAGCATTCGCCGACCAAACGTACAAAATCAACATTTAAATGAGTTTTTTTGTAAAAAATAATACATTAAAAAAGTAATTCCGGATGTGCAATATTGGAATATGCCCGCATTTTATGATTCTGGTCGGTTACAAAACTCGGGAGCCGACCGCAACGGAGTAAAGGCGGGTCAAGTTAGGTCACGCAACTAAACTAACTCTCCGACAAAGCTGGAAGTATCACTCGAATTGAAGGCGCTCTAATCCTGAATTTGCACACACTATTTCTGCAACATCAATAGATTGAACTTTCAAGGCTCTTCGTATTTTTCCGTACCCTATTGACAGTCATGCTGCGAAATAATTGTGTTATGAATAATATGATGTTTCCAAATGTCTTCTAGTCACCGCACTATATGTTCTTCTTTTCAAATTGCTCCATCCCCATGTTTTGATCTTGTATTTGTAGAACTAAAGTTTAGACTAATTGAGTATGATGGTCTCGTTTACATGTTGGCAACCGTTAGACTATTTTTGTACAAATACATGGCCTAAAATTTTTGTCAAAATGTTCAAAGATCTTTTAGAATTTTATTCGTATTCTCCTGAAATTCACAAATATTGTTTTTTTATTGATCAGAACAGTTCGATAGAAAACATAAAGGCACTGAAAATTCGGCATTGTAAGCAATCTTATATGTATAGTTGAAAATAAGCAGAAATCCCCGAAAATTTAGGAAGTCGTGTTTGGAAACTTTCTGATTATCTACGTGCTAGAATAGCAAACTTGATTTTATTGAATTTCTGGGAATCGATAATACATAAAGTCTTCGCTGTTTTGTTTGCAGGGAATGAAATTTTCAAAGTTATTTGAGCTCACGAATCCAGTCAACGGTCAAAAAACTAACAGTATGTAAGTGCAATAGATACATTCCTTTCCTCAACGTTCCAAGGCTGTTTGTTAGCATAACTAACTTCATTTTATATTAGAATGGGAAGCGAAGACAGTTTAGGACAATCTATGGCTAGTGTTTCTTGAAAAGGTCTCAAGCGATACTGACTTTTGCTATATTTGATTTCACAATTTATTCATTTATATACAGAGGATACGATCGAATGCGATTAATTTAGAAGTTTCAGGGGTTTCCTTTGTAACATAAAACAAAATATACCTGAAATGTTCACGAGAGCAGACGTCTATTTGAACTTCTTTTCATGGAAAATTTCATGAAAGAAGACAGAGGAACCGTCAATAAAAACTGTACAGTTGTATTTTTTAAAGAAAAAATAAACCAACAAAAAAAGTAGTAAAAATTAATTGTAAATGGACAATGAATGATATCTTTTGGTTTCTGAAACCCAGGTCTATAGCAGCCAAGGTTTCACTCTGGCCCTTTCAGGAAACACCACTCATTTTATGTGCTTCCACATTTGCTTAATTTAACTTCTTCCACCCTTTTGAAAGATTGCGATCGCTGGAGAGAAGATTAAAATTAAGAATAAGAGGCATGGCTCAATTTTGTCTCATATTGAGGTTTTTAATTGAGAAATGAAGAGAAAAATATTATTCTTCGAAACGTGACGAGGCCATGAAACAACCCCTCAATGCCTGACAGAGACGACGTGGCTGAAATCGTCAAATATTTAAATTAATGCTTAAAGTCACTTAAAATAAGAGGGTCTTTTAATAAACTCTCTCTTCTTAAGAGGGTCCCAGGTCCCTGAAACGATCTTCAGGTGCGGTTCCATTGCACAGATATTTTTTTTTGATCGACTTGATTGAAAATTAAAAAAAAAAGAGAATCATACATGTAGTTTCAAGTCTTAAAGTAGAAAGCGAAAGTTTCCAGGAAAGTAAAAACGCGATTAAAGTCGAAATCATCGATTTTCCGTTTTCGATGAATAAAATCAATGTCTAATACTCTAAAAAATATTGTGTTAAAATATCAAACCAAAATTGGCATGATTAAAAAAGTTGAAGGCAATTGAAATGAACAGTGTTAGAAGTATGCATCATCATGTTCACTCTCAATATTTAAGGAATTTTCCTCAAAATCGCATTTTTTCGTGCTCAAACTCTAAATCGCTCGTACTAAGTCATTCTTTGGAATTTTTGGGATTTTTTCCGGGGGGAAATGTGAAATTAACCCTTCTAAGCAATGGTATAATTAAAGAAAATATTGCATTTTCCATTTCAAGTCACCTGTTCCCATTTACAATCACAAATTCTGTTGTGCTAAGGAAAAATGCCGTATGAGCATTCCAATGTTGCCAGATTTCCTCTCGGAAAATATTTATATTTTTGAAGAAAGTTATGAATTTTTTTTTCTTGAATTGTTTTAGATTAAAGGGCTGAAGAAATTCTCTGAAAAATCGTGGGAAAACTACTCGCGAATTTTCCCGAAAATTTGTGTTTTGTCCAAGAAAATTTGGCAACGGCTGTAGGTTCTTACGACGTTATTCCTTAGCCAGGCAGAATTAAACTCTAGAGTAATCAACACTTATTAGTTGTCTCTGAATATTTCAATTCAAACGAGAGGCGAAATTCACTTTGAAGCAGACGTTTGATATTTGTTTTGTATTTTTTGCTATGATCGCCAGGAATTTCAAGAACTTCCATCAACATGGGGAGAGAGGGGAGGTATCAAGTTACTTTTTGGGTTTGGCGGAGAAGGTGGCCGAATCGGGGGAGGTCATCAACGTGGCTGAGTGCATCGAGGTCGGTAAATCCAAGGGAGAGAACGTCAACTCTCTCTTGGCCATGCCCATCCGAAATAAAAACTACCAAATCATCGGTAAGTTTCAAACCCTACTAGACTTATACACATTTTCATTACTTAGAAACTCTGTCTGAATCTCTATCACATTTTTTCCTTCTTCTGCTGCTGGTTTTATGGCTTCGTGTCTAGCACCTCCAGCCAACTTTAGACTATGTTTATTGTCCGTAGACATCGAAGGATTTAGGCACATCCATGCTCCAGGCTTTTCAAATTTTCAGGGTCTAAGGCCGAGTAGAATCTGTCTCAGCAGATCTACTCGTCTGTTTCGAGTACCTAAATTAGACGCCACCACCGGGATTCGAACCCGGGACCGATAGACCGTATTCGATAACGGTTCGATGTATCGTTTGGTTCAAAACAATAGAACATAACCTCAAACCAAACTTTAAGGATTTTAATTGGAAAAGCTGAAAATGAGAAATTTCCTGACAATTTCACTTTGCATTGGCATTTGGTACTCAAAAGAATAAAAAATCTGTTTCAAAAGATCCGTTCTCTCAGATTTCTGAATTTACTTTTGAGGCTATGTTTATGTTTTGAACCAATCGATTTCGATACAATCTCACCCGTTTGATGTATCGAATACGATCTATTGACCTAGAGTCCGACGCGCTGACCACTAGGCCAACCTGGCCGGCTCACATTTGTATGCATATCTCTCGAGCAAAGACACTGCCAAATCTTGTCGTTCTCCTTACAAAAGAACGTAACTGTATTTCAATTTTGCCAAATTTTCCTTTGGAAATTGCATTTTTACCAGGGAAATCTTGGGATTTTCTAACTGATGTTTCTTTTGATCTCATCTGAGAACTTCTCCGAGAAATTTTGAAACAAAATTCCACCGGTATATTCTTGTAAGAAATTGAATTATTAAAGTCAACCTTACAACTTCAGAATGGAGTTACGCTTCTTCGTTCCGGAGACGACGAGCTGTCCCATGCCCGTAAGATTCCCATGGGTCATCATGCATGGGGATGTTATTGGAACCCATAGATTCACCCTCAAGGCTCCCACATGGCTCCCTAAGGCTCCCTCGCGGTTTCTAAGGGCCCTCGACGAATTCGCATTCATGGGAACCGGTGTAATATTAACCTGAGACCGTTTCTACAGGGAAGTGCTAAAATAAGGGAGTTCCATGCGAAATTTTGGTCCGTATATTGTCATCTAAGAATATGATTACAGCACTTGCAACACACATGATTTAAAATTGACTAGCTGCTCCGGACGCCCTACGGGCGCCCTCCACAGCTAGCAATGGTGGTGCAGTACCTTAATTGGAATCGGAGCAATTAGTTGAATCTACTTAATAATGATGAATAAAATGTCTGTAACAATACGTGTTGTTAGCAATACGCAATACTGCAGTTAATTAGTCAGGGTCAGTCAAGCCGCAGAGAATAAGATGCCAGGATATCAAGAAGCTGTGAGGCGGAGCAGCCGAGGGATGGCAAAGGAATGTGGGTGGCGAGTGACGAACTGACGAACGACGATGCGACCCAAACTTCCTTCTTTGAGGTTGGTGGAGGAGAGCTATACGAAAGAAAACGGAGATAGCCGAAAGAACGTGGTGGGAGGGGTGGCTGAGACCCTAGAGGGGGTATCTAGGGACGGGCAAGCAGGTAGCGGCCGGATGACCGCTCAAAACAGCTGAACTTTACTCGTCGATAAAAGTAAGAAAATTTGAGAAAATCGAAAAAACAATTACAGCCTGCAAATCTACAGATCAGAAGCTTTCATTTAAAAAAAACCCCATGCAAATCGGTCCGGTGGTTCTCTCAAAGTTAATGTCCCAAAATGCGGACTTTAGTCTGAATAAATGGGAGAAAATTTGAGCCCAGCTAAACTTCACTCGTCGATAAAAGTAAGACAATTTGAGAAAATCGAAAAAACGATCACAGCCTGTAAATCTACAGATCACAGGCTTTCATTTAAAAAAAACCCCATGCAAATCGGCCCGGTGGTTCTCTCAAAGTTAACGTCCAAAGATTCGGACCTCCGTTTTAATGCATCGAAGACAATTTTAGAAAATTATGGGAGAAAATTTGAGAAAATCGAAAAAACGATCACAGCCTGCAAATCTACAGCTCAGGGGCTTTCATTTAAAAAAAATCCCATGCAAATCGGTCCGGTGGTTCTCTCAAAGTTAATGCCCCAAGATTCGGGACTTTGCATTTTAATATATAGGATAACAATGCGCCAGATGCGTTTTTCTAGTTAAAAATATGAAATGCGTGGAATGGATTTGCTTGTGTTAGCATTAGTTTAAGTGTAGCCATTTTTAACTTGGGAGCCTACCAAAGAAGCAATTTTCAAAGATAAAATCGCGACACAGTTCCGACCTATTGAGGTGAAGTTACGACATTAAAATTCTCAAGCAACGTCCGTCCAATCTACTAATTTGACTCAACGGAGAAGATGGGCAACATGCAACTACTTACCTATGCCAAAAATTGCGACCTAAACTCAATAAATCGCGATAGTTTCGGCGCTTTGAATTGAGAATATAGTCAACGTGATAACAAAGCTCATCAACTAAAATTCACGATAGCCTTTTTATTACATTCTCTACCTGTGAATTCACTATCTTAAATTAAATTGTAATAGTTTCACAATGCGATTGTTACACACAGAAATCAATGAGTAAGGTGTACAATTTTAAAAAAAAAAATCTTTTTCATTGATTATATCGTAAAAATTGAGATGATACTTGCGTTTCCAGCCCAATTGTGAAGCTTTATCATCAAGCTTCGTGTAGAAAAACTAGCAATATACCCACCAAAATTTTCTCCATCTTATTTTTTCTCGTCATGCTAAAGAGGTAAGCCTGGAAATAATTTCCGTTTCAAGTGTAGCAATTACGCTCCTTACCTCCGGGCCTCCGGGCTTACAGGGAAAGAAGTCAACTTTGTTTTCAGAACACTCGAAGATTGTGCGCTACTCGTTAACTAGTCATATTAAATGTTCTCAGACTCGCTCGGCAATTGTCTAAGTGACTCAAAAATTCGAAATATCCCTGAGATTCTTTTTAAAATATTTAAATGTCTTAGATTCATTCATGTCTAAGACAACGGTGCATTTTTCTTTATCCCTTTCCTCCTTTTGAGTCAACTCATGGTCCGTTGAAGTGGGTTAGTCAGTGTTGCCGCACGCGCAGCTTTACTACTCTGAACTTTCTGCTGGTTCATTGTTGAAGGCAAGGTGGTAGACAAGGCTATAGACAAAGAGGGCATAGGGAAAATGCCGCGATCCTACGGGTGGAAGTGGGTGGTTTCAATGAATACAGGGGGTAAGTAATGGTAATCGACTAACTACAATGGTAACCCACGAGAAACTGCAAAGTTAGTCCATAATTTTACCTTTTTAGTCTATAAAAACCACCCGTTTCAACCAATAGGATCGCTTCACTACCCCGTTGTCTTCTCTGTCTATAGCTTTCTCTGTCGGCTTTATAGATTCGTAAAACTTACAATGGCTCGTAACTGTAAGTGGATTTACTTTATGTACGCGAACCATTCAATAGTCAATAGGATGATCGACTAAAGTCTAGATCTCTATTTTCAAACAATCCCCGAAATTTGCATCACGCTGTCAAGTACTGTCGCACACATATTTTGATCGCAAAAAATCGGAGACTTTAGAAGTACGCCCCGAGTGAATATCGCGAATTGAAAAGAAAAAAGGGGGAAAAGTTCAGCAAATCGCACGCGGAACGTATTTACGGAGCTATTTTAAAATATACTGCCCAAGCGATGTATCTCGATTTTTACGTGAGTCCTGTCGTCCGTATAACTCCATTCTTTCTGGACAGTGGTCTTGAAGCAACAAAAAAATGCAACAAAAATATACCCAAAAACGGGTTGCAGGGGGTGAGTCTATGGTACGTGTGGACTTGAAATCGCGGAAAATCAAATTCTTGGCTGATCCTGATTTCAAGATACCGCAAGTATTTGAAATTTTCATATTGAATGCAAGTTTTCTACTGATTTTGATCAGCTTCTTTAATTCTTTGTCCATTGAATCGGTGGTGATCGGTTCACGTTTTTATTTTAATCGCTCGAATACATACCCTCTCGTCACATGCAGACATCCTATCATACTCTTTTTTTTTAATTGAACAATTCGCCTTCTGCTGCGTCTACAGCAATTGTTGTTACGATTATGTTGTGCGTGCTGATTATAGTTCATTACATACTCGACTCTCTGAAGGCGTTTTATGTGCACAAGTAGCGCAATCTGTCGGAGACCGGACGAAGTGGGGATTAATCAATTTGTTCTATCTCACTTCTGTTGTTTGCCAACAGGGTGCTCTACTTTCGCACATTAAACGCCCTCAAAGAGTTAGGTATGTAATGTGCTGAGATCAGCACGCACAACGTATTCGTAACGAAAATTGCTGCAGTCGCAGCTGAAGGCGAATTGAAGACAACCATATAAAACACGTTGAGAACCATTTATCTCTTTAATCATTATTGTTACCAATTGAGAGTTGTACTTTATGATCATTTTATAGGGGATTCTGGATAAACTTTTCAACATAAACGAAAACATGAGACTTGATTGATGCTCCGCAATCCGTGACAAGATATACAATAATAAAACAAATTACACAGCTGGTAACAAGTCTAATTTTTAACGTAAATATAAATAAAACGTTTTAGCTGAAAACTCAACCTTGCTCAGTAAAAAATTGTGAAAATCTGAAAACGTAGTACTTGGCTGTACCTTTCAAGGCGAGGAAAATGTTGTTATGCAATATTTTCTCTGGAGAGAAATCTATTTTCTCGGGAGAGAAAACTATTCTCTCGGGGGAGAAAACTATCCTCTCGGGAGGGAAAAGTACTTTCTCAGGAGAGAAAACTCACCAGAGAAAATAGTTGTCACTCCGGAGGGAATAGTTTTCTCTCCCGAGAGCAGGGCCGGATTTATCTACTTGCCGCCCATGGGCCGCCTGTATTTTGCCGCCCCCTTTTCATTCGTATTGAAACATCAATAAAAACCATCAAGTGAACGTGCCAGCGGGGGAGGGGTGCATAAGACGCGTTTACTCGTGTTGAACACATTTTTTGGGGATGTAATGTCTACACAACTAGCAAAAGTTAAGTTTTGTAAACCCATCTCTGTGCGGACAAGGCCTTCCATTCATAAGAAATGAACGAAAAAATTATGAAAGAACAAACATGAATGTGGTTTAATGAATTTAACTTCCGCCGCCGCGCCGCGCAGACCGCACCGTGTTTGGCGCAATGCGTGAAGTATTCACGCAGTCTTGTAGGCGCCATGCGTTTCACGCTAACCGCAATGTGTTTGGTGCAATGCGTGAAGTATTCATGCATTCTTGTAGGCGCTATCCGTTTCACGCTGACCGCAATGACCGCACTGTGTTTGATGCAATGCGTGAAGTATTCTTTCAGTCTTGTAGGCGCTAATATGTGTTACATGCCGACCGCCGCGCCGATGGCTTCTCCTTTTCATCTCGAGTCCTCGTCATCATTGCTCTCTGCGCCGCGCCGTTCCAGGCCAAATTGCGTGCTTGGTTCCTCTCTTAACTCGACTAATTAAAGGTGCTTTCTCTTCGATCACTGAAAGACGACAAAATTAAAAATTACTACACTCTCAGGAAATGAGAGATTTTGTCGCCTTTTCTCGTTTGTAATCTTTTTTTCCAAATCCGATATTTTTTTATACCTACATTTAAACCGCCCTCTAGATTCGCCGCCATGGGCCGCGGCCCATATGGCCACCCCCTTAATCCGGCCCTGCCCGAGAGAATACTTTTCTAGTCTCTGGAGAAAATAATTGTCACTCCGGAGAGAATAGTTGTTTTTCCGAAGAGCATTTGTTGAACCCATTGCATAACAACATTGTCCTTGCTTTGAAAGGTACAGCTAATTAGAACGTTTTTAGATTTTTATAATTTCTTACTGTTTTATCCAACGGAAGGTTGAGTTTTCAGCCAAAACGTTTTGGTGATATTTACGTGAAAATTAGCCTTGTTACCCGCTGTGTAATTTGTTTTATTATTGTATAAACTAAAACATAAAGAATGTTTAAATGCAAAATCAAATATAAGAACACCCTATTGGAGATCAACAGAAGTGAAATTGAACGAATCGATTAATCCACGTTCGTTCTCCGACAGACTGCGCTATTTGTGCAAATAAAACGCCTTCAGAGAGTCGAGTATGTAATGAACTATAATCAGCACGCCCAACACATTCGTAACAACAATTGCAGTAGACGCAGCAGAAGGCGAATTGTTCAATTAAAAAAAAGAGTATGATAGGATGTCTGCATGTGACGAGAGGGTATGTATTCTATCGACATGAATCGAACGAAGACTTAAAACGTGAACCAATCATCGCCGATTCAATGGACAAATAAATAAAAAAGCTGATCAAAATCCGTAGGAAACCTGCATTTACCATGAAAATTTCAAATTGCGGTATCTCGAAATTAAGATCAGCCAAGATTTTGATTTTTCACGCTAATAGGTCCACACGTACCATGGACTGACCTCCTGCATCAACCCGTTGTTGGGTATATTTTTGTTGCATTTTTTTGTTGACCATTGAGATTCAGAAAGAATGGGGTTGTACGGACGACAGGGCTCACGTAAAAATCGAGATATATCGCTTGGGCAGTATATTTTAAAATAACTCCGTAAATACGTAGGAAACCTGCATTTACCATGAAAATTTCAAATTGCGGTATCTAGAAATTAGGATCAGCCAAGATTTTGATTTTTCACGATATTAGGTCCATACGTTTCATGAACTGACCCCCTGCCAACATTTGGGTACATTTTTATCGAATTTTTATTTTAATTCAAGACCACTGCGCCGGGGATCCGTTTGGGAATGGAGATACACCTTTATGTCAAAGAAGCAACGGTTTGTACTTTACAAATTGAAGCGTACGTACAATGGTTTTCTACAGGGGGGAAAAAGTTCGAAAGAAATGCAGCAGAATTTGCTGCATTCAAAATGGAAGGGGTTGAAATGGACTGCGGCTCAGGATCACTAACAAGTTAAATTTCCCGTCAGTCATGGTGCCACTTCAAGTGGCGACAGGTCGAGCAGGTCCGAGCGTTAAATGATGCAAAGCTGCTCCGAGGGAACATCTAACCTTGTCACGCCATGAAAATAGAATGAAGAACCCGGCTCTATATTTCCGTCTGAGGAAGAACGTCGTATGAGCCTTTAGACGTTGCCAAAACTCATTCCTTTACCATATCTTTAAATGACAATCGATAAATCGCACGATATGCGACTGAGCCGTTTCCCTGTTTCAAAAGTCTTCTCGACTGCATTTCTATACTTCTCCGGCACTGAATGATTCAAAATTTGCCAAGAAAAAAGAAGAGTTATCTCAGAGGTACGCGGATATTTACGAGCCGAATCGATCAAAATAAATTTATTGCCGCCATGACGCATTTATCCAACGATTTTCGGTTTATGTTCACGGACGCGTTTACGTTCAACGAATCAGTTCAATTCATGTCTTTACGGCATCGAGATGTTGGTGCTATGGGTCATATAAAAACCAATATAAATCCAGTTCCACGTTTTATGACTCCTCGTTTATATCAGTGACTTTTGAATACGTCAATCTTTTCTCTCTTAAAGGCTCTTTTTCATCTCACAGTTAGAGGTCGGCAAATCAGTGGCGTGGCGTGCTTTTCGATACATCGATTGTTATGCCATTTAAACTTATGGAAAAGGGTCGATAAACAGAGTGTTCGCAACCAACACCTTAATAATCGATTATTACCCACAGCCGCAAATGGGGAAATATCGATAATCGATCCCTCACGCCCCGTCACTATAGGCAAGTTCAAACAAAGAATCATTTTTCTCTCTTTCGTGGGACGTGAATCAATTCATATGCATTTCGAGTGCGTTGCCAATGAAGTGCTGTTAAGAAACCTGAGTCAGTGACGTTATTCAAAAGACAACCTGAGGATTAAAACCTAAGGAAGTTTAAATCTTGGAATGAAAAGTATAACAATTTTTTCGAGATTCACTGCAAGAGTTCTGTATCATTATCCCAAGTAGAGTTTTTTTCAAGAAAAGTAAAAAAAGAGTTCAATTAAATTGAAGAGAATAAGACGAAAATAGAAAAGAGCTGAATAGCTGACTTTAATTGGGAATCTTGCATTGGCGTTGCGACATTTCCAAAAAGCTAAATGCTTTTCTCTCACAAACTCCCTGTTGGTTTTCTACTCTTCTTTCCCCATCATCATTAATTTTTCGACATTTAACTTGAGTTACATCTAGGTATTTCATTAAATAAATCCTAAAATTTCCTAGAAAAGGAAACAAACGAGCACAAAGATGTCGAGACGTTTTATGCGTCGCTGAATTTTCGTGGTCACGAGTAAGTATACAATTATTAAATGAAATAATTGATTGCTTAGCATTATGTATGCTTTCTCTTCCTCTTCTTCAGACATGTTTTTGCTGTAAGCAAAATGCGGGGATAAGAAGAGACAGTGGCGCTAGACAGTTTAAAGTATGGTGCTCATGTTTCAGAGGAGAGGATGAGGAGGAGAAATACTAGGCCGAATACTTCCTTGTGCCTATACAGAGCCGAAGCTTTAACATCATAGAATAAAATTCTCAAACGTCTTCTGAGCAGTAATCTACTTAACTAATTTAAGTCCATTTAGTGCCTCTGTACCTACACCGTTGATTGATCGGATCCATGATTCTGTAAAGGCCGTACTACTTGAGAGGCTTTAATTATTGTACAATGTACATTAGCGTTCTTAAATCGCATAATATTAATGCAAATTGGGGGACCAAGCCCCCGGTCAGCTTTGCGGTTCGACACCCTGAAGCGCTTCGCGCAGTGCGCGTTACTTTTGTGATTTTATATTACAAAGTATGGCATGATACCTGCTTCGATTTTTCGCCATGTATATCTAGAAATTTTCAACGCCTTTTTTTTCAATATTTCAGGAGTTGCAAGTATTTTCAATAAACTCACTGGTCTTCCATTTGATGAAAATGACGAGCAGCTTTTTGAGGTAAGTTGAAGATGGAAGCATTGATATTCGTATTCCTTTTTTAATTATTGAAACAAAAGAATATGTAAAAAAAATAATCTAACTAATAAAAGAGAGATGAATGAGGAAAAAAGTAAGTGAACCAGAGAGATAACTATTCGATAATTTTTGGAATCACGTCCGTTAGTATTTTGTCATCTAATTCACGTTGGCGGATCCAAGGGGGGCGTAAGGAGTGTACCCCTCCCCCTCCCTTACCATTCGACCGAAAAAGAGGAGCAGGAAGAAAGACAAAGAGAAGGTAGAAAAAAGGAAGAAAAGGACGTAAAAAGCTTACATTTGGCAATTATTCATGACGAAATTTACTCAAACTGCACAATAGTTGGATTACATTGTGCAATAAGGAACCACGTTTTTTGGTCTATTTTAGAAACAACATACATGTCATTGGTTTCCCTATACAGATGTGTGCTTTTAAGGGAGAACCAAAGATAGTGATTCCTTTTTGCAAAATGTAATCAAGTTATGCTTCAAAAATTCAGAAACGTTTAGTGGGTGTCCCCTGGACCCCCCGTTCGCGGCATTTGGATCCTTCTATGCAGTTAACCATTACAACAATCAAAATTTCCAAGCGTAAACCGAGATGGCCTCACATTCAAGTGCAAGAAAAACTGAATACAAGTGTCATGAGATCAAGTTGGCAGCGCTGGATCATTGGGTGGAGAGTTACAGAAAGACGAATTTAATAACACGGCTTTGACATCTGTGTCGTCAGCATTGTTCGTGTAAATATTAACGGAATGGAAACGATAAACAAATATTTTCCTGCCTCTTTGAGCCGGGGCTCCGGGAGCCAAGTTTCAGGGGGTGCACGTGACGAAACGCCGATTAGTTTCCCTCCCACTTGTAACAGACCTTTCCTCCTCCTCCCCCCCTTTATTTCGAGAATCTCTGCGCACTCCTACACCCCCCCTTACCCTCATACATCCCTCAACTAATTTTCTCAAGACTTGAGGAAGATTAAAGCCCCTCATACTATCGTTCCTCTCGTGATTCGATTTTGCATATCGTGACCTTTTGCCAAATAGACGTATTTCTGCTGTAAGGAAGCGGAGATGGGTAGAAAAGAAGGAGTGTGCTCGTTAGTTAAGGGCCGTAAGAATGAATGGGAATTTTAAAGCGCCAGTGACGTCAGCGACGACGACCGGGTTCGACGCATTGGAGGATCCAGCAAATTGGCAACATAGTTTTTCTCCATTTAAACCTATGGAAATGTATCGATTCTTGGGGGGGGGGCAGGTGCTCCAGCGAGAATCGATTATTTAGCATACCCTGGTAAAAATAGTAAAGGAGCTGCGTTTCAAAATACCATAGGAGTTCTTATTGCCGACTGAAGAAGGCGATAGAAAATCATATAGCTGGCTGTAGAGAGTGGAAAAAATCATACGGCCGGGCTACACGAAGCGATAAAAGATTATACAGCCGGGCTATAGTTCCGATCGCCGGGCTTTACACTTTATCGCCTGGCTGTTGCTTTTTCGCCATCGGCTATAAAAGGCTATAAGAAATTGTGTAGAAATTCGTGTGCTTTGCAAATCCTTAAGTTTGTACGGAATCACCTTAATATTCACAAAACGCACATTATATTTTCCTTTACAACATATTTTTTTTCATCAAATGAGATGAGAATAATCCATACAGAGTGTGCAAACATTTCAAAAGTCATGAGTTGAAAAACGCTGACTCCACGAGATTAAATATTAGAGCCTAACTCAAAGCGGAGCGGCGGCGCACTGGCGCCTACAAACCTAACAGGGATACTTCACGCAATGCGTGAAGTATCCCTGTTAGGTTTGTAGGCGCCAATGCGCGTTTCGCGCTGGCTGCCCGCCCGCCGCGCCGCGCCGCGCCGCAGCGTACCACGGCGATTGAAGCAACTATTTTACACCAGAGGTATTGCACAGTATCATACAAAATTGAAGGCGCTCCAACATATTAGGAATGGCAGGCATCCTTCAAAAGTACGGAGCTTTCCTTGCAAACTAAATCAAGATACTACGGCCCAAAAAGAGAGCGGTAGTCCAAAAACTCACTAAGTCCTAGCATCCGTAATTATAGTAACGTTTAGCATACACTTTATCGCCAGGCTGTGTTTAATCGCCATCGGCAATAAAAGGCTATAAGAAATTGTGTTGCCGGCTATAGAAGCTATTGGAAATCTTACAGCCGGCTGTAGGTTTATGGTATTTTGGAACACAGATTCTACTGCCAATTTTTACCAGGGTAGGTTTAAATGGAGGAATCCGGTGTTGCCAAATGGCTGGATCCGCCTCTGGTTCGACAAGGTCAACGATGCCGCATTAATTCTTGAGCCCTGTCCAGAACGCTCTTGTCGCATGCCCACGGCTCATGAATTCCGCATATTTTGGCGCATAGTTCCGATTGATCTAATGTAAAATCCCACTTTTCCATCTTGTCAAAAGGAATTACGTCAACTTTTACATTGTTTCTCATGCAGCTTTTTAGAGAACACCCCCTATTTTTTCAGTCGTCGCTAGCAGACATTCGTTCAAATTATAGAATCAAGCTGTGAAATTTCTTCATCACGAAGAGAAATACATTTTATTAGATTCATAAAGCTCAGTAAGATCCATGAGAAGCTGTAACATGACTTTTAAAACCAGTACCATTCTCACGTTTTGGAAGTGAATTCGTCACAGAATGAATTCAAAGAGTATTTTTGGTTGAAGTTATTGTTTAAAAAACTGCACTAAATTGCTTTGTCCTCCAAACCCTTTAAATTAAAAAAGAATAAAGCGAAAGTACGCTGTCATAACCTGATCGTACTCAGTGGCATGCTCTCACAACGCTACACAACTATGATACTGCAGGAACGCACATCTCGATTGCATCTGCAGACTTCCTATCATTCTTCACTTTACATTATAATATGTTCGTTATTTATTTATTTATTTATAATTCGTGTACATAAATGCCACACGTTGTGGCTATAATACTTGTCAACCCAGCCCCCCTAAATATTACACATTAATATAATATAGGCACGTAAGAACACAGGGAAGCATTAAGAATATTACAAAATTTTACAAAATAAAATAAAAGGTATAGTAAATTACAGTTAAATATTATTTAAAAAAATCATTCAAGGAATAAAAAGCCTTGCCAACTAGTAAGGCTTTTAGACCAGCCATGAACTCTCTTACATCCCATTTCAGAAGAGCTTTTCTCAGGTTCAAGGGAAGGTTGTTGAACAGTCTGATGGCAGTATGAGACACAGACTGTTCAGCAACCTTCAGGCGAACAATTTCATAATTGATGAAAGGGTTTCTCATGTTCTTTATCATGTCCTTACGAATCAGGCCGGTGTCGATGGCAAATTTTAGGCTGTCTAGAATAAAAATAGATGGAAGAGTTAAAAGTTGGTACTTTATGAATAAGGGTTTACAGTGGGAATTAAATGGTTTGTTAAATATCAGTCTTAGACATTTTTTCTGTTCAATAAATAATTGCCCTGAGCAGTGGTTGAGACCCCACAAAACTAGGCCATACCTTAAATGTGAGATTATGTTAGCATGATAGTACATTAAACACGATGGCAGAGATAAAACTTTATAACGTTAAACGTTAATACGTTAATAAACGTTATATATTATTATACTAAAACGTTATATATTATTATACTTTATAGTTATTTTTGTATATAATTTTTAGATTTGACCCTATATTTTGTGTTTAGTTAATATTTTACATATTCTTATAGCATACATCATTAGAAATGAGAATCAGTATTTAACCTCATTTCTTGAAAACTTTCCTCCTCAACGAAAAAAATAATCCATGAAATTTCAAGCAATAGCATTGGTTTGTTCTTCTCTCACAATGTAAAATGGGGGTGGAAATTTTAAAACACCGGAAACGAGATTAGGTTTTCTGCAGCTTCACCGTTAGTTTATATGTCAGTCAACTTCTTTGTCTTGTCTAATATGTTCTTAATGTTTTATTTTAGGCATTTACAATCTTTTGTGGTCTTGGAATTCACAACACCTTAATTTATAGTGAAATTGAAAAAGCAATGGCAAGGCAGAAAGTCTCCATCGAGGTTAGTCATAGTCATGTTCATTTTATCAATGTATGGAATGGACAGTGTATCAATGACCAAAGTGCAAAACCAGGCATCTTCATTTGCGACGTTGCAGACTTCCTGTCATAATTTATTTTTTCTTTAGAAAAATGATAACATAATTTCTTGACAACTTCCTTGATTTTTTTCTAGGTTAACATAGTTTTCTGTACCTATACATTTTAAGCTTCAGAGGCCTCGCTACACGAATCAAATTCCGATGAAAGTAGACCATTTGATGACTGTTGGTCACCATGCAACATTCTAATTTGATCAAATTTGGACGGCCCGTCCAAGTACCACCACTCATCATTTCTCGCCACACGGAACATTTCTGTATAGTTTTCATTTGAAAATAATGCGGAGTAACGAATTCAGGGCTGATGATTCCCGACACTTGGATGGGGATTGGTTCCCGATTTTGATGGTTGGCTTGTTTATTTTCGAAAAATTAAAGTAGGAACGGAACTTTTGAAAATCGCAATGGAGATAAACTTCAATGGCACTTTGGCCATCGTTATATTTATCATTCATTGCATTAAAGTATTATTGTTAGTACGTTATTTCTAGTTTTTAATCTCGGTGCAACGTGTGCACCTTGCCGCGCTGGCCGAAAGCCCTCGGTGTGGAAACGAGCAAATCGGAGCGCCCTCTTTTTCGTGAACGCAATACGCACAACCTTTGAACACGAATAGTTGCATGCTGTCGCCTTGGCGACTAGAGGCTGGATGAGGGCACCGCCCTCGTTCGCTGAAATATTTCAATACATTTAATAAAAAGAAGCACATAATGAAAATGGTTTTGAACGATAGAAGATTTTTGTTCGGCCGAAGAGAGTTCTATTGAGTTAAAAACAACTTTTCTTTAAAGCTTGGAAGATAAGTTTTTCATTAGAAAAGAGTTTTTAAACAATGTTTTTTCAGTGTTAGTTTGTGTACTTCTAGATATAATGAAGTTTTCTTTTCCAGGTGCTGTCTTATCACGCCACAGCTTCAAGTAAAGAAGTAGAGACCTTAATCGTAAGTTTCTATTTAGCTTCTTCATCGATTTGCCCAACACGATACTTCCTGATCTTCTCTCTGAGATTTTCCAAAGGCTTTCGCTTCACAATACCACTGTCCCTTTTCGTCATTTTTTTATTGCGTGGCCACGATCACTATCGTTTGGATGATGAAATTAAAATCTCTGTAATCGATATTAAAGTCCTCGGCTAAATGCCTTAAACATAAAAATAAAAAAATTAAACTTAATTTATATAACTGTATAATTTGCAGTGTGTGAATTGAATTTCATTGTCCAAAAAGAACTAAGAGCATTCCAATGTCGCCAAGATAGTGCAACTTTTTTTACCTTGCAAATATGAACTGATCATCTCAACAAGTTTTATCTTTACTCCCAGTAAACTGTAGATTCAAGAAGAAAATTATCTTCATAAATTTAAGTTTTTGCACGATTTTAGGAATTGTATTGCAAAGAATGCAAGTTGCACAATTTTAGCAAAATTGGAATGCTTTTGTCTCCTTTTCGCAAAATGCAATCCAATTCGTCGATTTTGACCTCTTGATATCTAGATTTTTTCATCAATCCTCGAGGTCAAAGAAATACTTGCGAATCCAGGCTCACAGAAAAAATGCACATCGACGGTGTAAGTCGGCAATCACATAACTCGTTTGCGGTGTATGAAAATCTCCGCTTCTATGTTATTTTTTTAAAGGAGAACAAATTGACATCGTACCTTGAAGTTTTTTCAGAATTTTCTTCACACAGAGAAGAAAAATCACGGCAGTTTCAAATTATTGCCGTCGAGTATTTTTCTATTTAACAAATACAGTATGATAGGAAGTCTGCGACTCGACGTCGCAAACCGAGTTATGTGATTGCCGACTTAGGTACACCGTCGACATGTTATCAGGTGCTTTGCAGCGACACACCTTGACTTAAAAACAAATATTCAAGGAGATTGTAGCCTTGGGACTGCATTTTAATCTGCCGGGAAAAGAGCGGAATTCCTTTTTTCAGACTAGGGTGGAATTCCTTCGTAAATAATGTTCGTATGCATATTAGTTGTTAGTCCCGTAAAGCTTTCATCTCCACGAGCATGATACCCCAGGGTTAAAATTTCACCTTAGCTCGGAGCCTCTCAACAATTGGAGTGTGATCAGGATGGAATTCCTTCGTAAATAATGTTCGTATGCATATTAGTTGTTAGTCCCGTAAAGCTTTCATCTCCGCGAGCATGATGCCCCAGGGTTAAAATTTCACCTTAGCTCGGTGGCTCTCAACAATCGGAGTGTGATCAGCTCCCTCATCCCCCATCTAAGGGGATTAAACTGTTGGCAAAATTAATTTACGCGAGTCCTACCCCACGCCATATGCGCCACGAGCTTTGAATCAATTTTCGGGGCAATAACTTATTAACCGAGAGCCTAGGTTGTCGTATCGACGCACATAATCTTTGCGTTTTTTTCTTTCCCCCTTTGCATAATCCAAGTAATAGACAACGGCTACTTTGAGTGAATTTTGTCTCAGGGTACACTATTATTATTACGTGAAAATGCCGATTGATAGATTATTATTTTTACATCAAAACTGTGTGTGTCCATTTGTGAGTTAAACTGCAATGGATTTCTTCCCTGTCTTTGAACCAGTTTTCCTTTTGAAAAGAGAGGATAAAAACGCATATTCTTCACGTTACCCCTACCATGCATTTTCTTTTTCTTTATTACAACGCGATTCCGACTTGCTCCACTCTTCAACTGTAAAGGAGCAGAAGAAAATAGAAAAAAACCCCATGACCAACTTTTTAAAACCTTTTACAAGTAAAGCCAAGTTCATCTCAATTCAAAAAAAATCTTGAAAGAAGCTTTTTTCTCACATTCCCCCTGAGCATCCGAAAGACTCTAAAAAATAGTTTGGATGATTAAAAAATCCACCAATTTTATTTCAATTACTTAAAAAGGGTGCTTTGCATTCTCATGTTAGGCCAGTGTTAGGCAAGCCAACCGTAAGTACTGTCTTCTGCATGTTTTCGTGATTACGTTTTATGAACACACAACAAACACATTTTCAGGTTCAAAACTGACAAAAGGTGAAAAAGGTGGCATTATATTTGAAAACACTGTTTTCACTGACTCTTTGGAGGAATAATGCTCCTTCGGGCTGTTTTGTCTGAAACTACGTCATTTTTTGCCTACTCCTGGCTTTCTCATGTGCTTCGTTTTTTGTTAAATTAAGACGAATTTTGCTGTTTCAGCTTTTTCGATAATATAATCGAATTGGAGATTCGACAAATTTTGAAGGAAACTCGATTTCGAAAATTTGAGACTTATGGCTCTCTTCGGTATCACAACAGAAATAAACGACAAAGAATTCAGTTTTTGATATTTTTATATCGAAAGTATTCGGTTTTTGCTCTGGTAGTGGTGTGGCGGGAAAATATAAGGGGAAGAGGTATTTGCATCGGCAGAGAATCGATCGTCTACTTTTGGCATCACATTTCGGAAATTGGAATCGGCGATTGAGCCGCGGCACCATTTCCCAGAGCAAACAAACGAAGCCTCTTCATTTTCTCTTATTGTCATGGGAACGGAGTTCCCCATGATATTAGAATCGTTCCGTTGCTTTCGCTATGGAATTCCCTATACCTCTGCGACCTTGAGCGTTTCGCCCAGTCTCCGATTTTTGGTTGATTTTCCGATGTATCAAAAACCGTTGTATTTTTTAGCCAATCATGTCTCTACGTCAAGTTGTGTTGATTGCTAAAATTCGCTTTCAGCGAGTTTTTTGCCACCTGGAGATGTCGTGTCTGACTGGTAAATCTGCGCAGAACCACGAAGTTCCGTTTTTAGGCAAATTCTTTTTTTTGGGAGGTTCTGATTGGTTATTTTTCGCCATCAGTTTTCTGTTCGTTGGTGCAAAAGATCGCCTACCTCGTTGCTCTTGAGAAGCCGCCATTATCCCACCTCAAATTTTAAACATAGATATAAAGAAATAATAACCATCGTACAAGGTGGAAAATTGCTCTGGAGGACCCGTTACGGATATATGAGCCAAAATCAGAACTCGATTGATGGATTTAATCCATGAATACAGAAATATTGCCTCAGCTTACTGCCGCGATCGCAAATCCATGGTGAGATGAACCTCGTGACACATGACAGCATAGGTAAACAATGTCTCACAGAGTAATGCGGTTGATCCGTTGTGTCTTATCACGCCAGTGGCCGAACCGTTGAAATCTCAAGGACGTCTTTTGTGAAGCCCCGCTCAGCGTCCGAGATCACTTAAGTGTTCTCTTTTTCTCAATGCATATCTCAACAGCGAAATAGCTCAACTGGCTGCGTTACCGTTTTGCCTCTGGGAGAGTGACACTTTTTGTGCGAGCGGGGGTTCGAATCTCGCAGGGGACAGTTAATTTTTACTGGTTGTATTGAATGTTTTAGACCAATCATCTAACAATAATTAATACTTGGCAGATTAGGAAGCACATAGGTCCCTTATGATGCGTATTCGAGCATATGTGTAGAGTGGAAATATCATACGTAGGGTGTCCCAAAAGTACCGGGACTGGTTCTGTAACTTCAAAATTAAGATAGATACAGACATGATTTTGGTCTCATTTTAAAGATCAACTCAATACCTATCGATTAAAACCAAGATCAGCTCAATCGAATAAAAATTGACCGAGTTATGACAATTTGAAATTAGTGAGGAAAGTTTACCCCTACGGTTTTTAGGAAGATTTTTCGCTTACCAGGATTTAAAAAGTTAATATTCGTATCCACTTTCCTCCGAATCTTCCATAACTTCCTTTTGCTTTTCAAAGTACCGTCCATCAAACCGGATGCACTTTTTCATGCGCTCTTGCCACTTATCCAACATTGTTTTCCTGAATTATTCCTCTGGGATGGAGTTGAAGAAGTTTTGAATTGCATTCTGGATTTCGGTCTTCGATACGAATCTTCGTCCGCGAAGCTCCTTTTTAAGCGTGGGAAACATCCAAAAATCACATGGAGCCAAGTCAGCGCTATAAGGGGGATGAGGGATTGTTTCAACTCCATTTTTACTCATAAATTCACGTGTTAAGCTCGATGTGTGAGGCTGCGCATTGTTTTGATGGAGTATCCACGGAGCTTTCAAGTCCGACGGTTTCCGGGAAATGTGCATTCTCAACTCCTTTAGTACTTTGCAATAATACGCACTGTCAACTGTTGTGTTTGATGGTACAAAATGTTGATAAATGACACCTCGAAAATAAAAAAACACAAAACGCAATAGTGTATTTCCTTCGGAAAATACACTAATAAGCATCACTTTATCGGCCGACTTTTCGATTTACGGCGATGAAGAATCTTCCTTAAAAATCGTAGGCGTAAACTTTCCTCGCTGATTTCAAATTGCCATAACTCGGTCAATTTTTATCCGATTGAGCTGATCTTGGTTTTAATCGATAGGTATTGAGTTGATCTTTAAAATGAAATCAAGATCATGTCTGTATCTATCTTACTTTCGAAGTTACAGAACAAGTCCCGGTGCTTTTGGGACACCTTACGTATACTTTACGCCGAAAAAGCGAACCTGAAACTTAAATGCGTTAACTTCCGAAAACCATATATAATTCAACGAAAATAAATAATTGGTACATAACAGCTTTCTTGTATGCAAAGAAAATAATTAAAAATGTTAAAAAAGAGATGTCAACACAAAATTACATAGCCCCTTCAATTCAGAAGATACTACAAACGAACTGTACCTTAACATTTTCATATCCCAGAAGCTAACGTTCCCATGACGAATATTGCTATCGCTAGCGATTGCAAAATCCAACTTGTTTATTGTTCCCTCGATTACTCAAGCATTCAAATGCCTCTTGTGTCCTATTATATCTGAACTATTTATATCGAGACAGGAGGGTAGTCCTTCGTCATTTTTCCCTACATTGACGCGAGTGGAAACTAGTACCTATATTCAACTTCACATACAAAGGAGAATTTTTTCGTAGCCCTTCACGATGATAGTGCGACTTACAATGAAAAACGCAGGGCATGACTGAAAATACCACGTTACTAAAAATATTATATCTTATCACCGGATTATATTAAATCATAATTGTATCGCTAAACGTCAAGTTATAATACTTCCTCCTCCACAGTTCACCTTTCACGCCTCCCTATTCATCTTACCTTTATTTAGCGGTGCTGCCTTTTTTACTCACTTTCTCCTTGCTACGGTTTGAGGGGGAGGGCTTGATGAAAGCTCGTCGATTTCATGAGCCTTGATCTTCGACAGGTTGTTCCACCTCCGATGGCGATCGAAAATTTTCATTGAATCCAATTTACGGAAAAAACACTTGCATTTAAGAGCGTACTCGAGTTTTCTCAGGAATTAAGGTTGGTAGGTCGATAGCACATTCATCCCTCTGTCACAAAGATCAACAACGCACAAAAATGGTTCACGAAAAAAAAGTTGCTGAATTAACACCCTCATGTTATAAATGTGTGCTGCAACTCTGAAGTGTTCATATGAACGCTTAGGCTGTCAAGTCAAATCCATGAGGGTGCAAATTTAGCCGTCGGAGTGTTCATATCGACACTCACATGACTTTTTTTTTTTTTTTTTTTTTTTTTTTTTTTTTTTTTTTTTTTTTTTTTTTTTTTGCCGCCCTCCTCTCATTCATTTTGAAACATCAATAAAAACCATCAAGTGAACGTGCCGGAGGGAGAAAGGTGCATAAGACGCGTTCACTCGTGTTGGACACATTTTTTGCGTAAGCCCTGTCAACACTACTAGCAAAAGTTCACAGAACTTCGCGCGAAAGTTCAGTTTCGTAAACCTATCTCTGTGTGTGCAAGGCCTTTCATTTGTAAGAAATTAACTAAAAAATTAGGAAAGAACAAACATAAATGTGGTTTAATAATTTTAACTTCCGCCGCCGTGCCGCGCTGACAACACTGTGTTTGGCGCAATGCGTGAAGTATTCATGTAGTCTTGTAGGCACTGTGCGTTTCACGCCGCGCCGACCGCTGTTGATCGTACTGTGTTTGACGCAATGCGTGAAGTATTCATGCAGTCTCGTAGGCGCTAATGTGAGTTACATGTCGACCGCCGCGCCGAGGGCTTCTCCTTTCCATCTCTAGTCCTCGTCATCATTTCTCTCTGCGCCGTGCCGCTCCAGGCCAAATTACGTGTTTGATTTCTCTCTTAACTCAACTAATTAAAGGTGCGCAGTCTTTTGTATCACCGGAATACGACAAAATTAGATGTTAATGAACTCTCAGGAAATGAGAGATTATGTCACCTTTTCTTGTTTGTAATTTTATTCTGAATCCAATTTTTTTGTACCGATTTTTTGTTTAAAGAAATGCAAAATTTGCCGCCCCCTATAATTTTGCCGCCATGAGCCGCGGCCCACGTGGCCACCCCCTTAATCCGGCCCTGAACACTCAAGAGTTGTCGCGCAGATTTTTAACATCGCTCGAGACTTTAATTCCACAGCTGTTTATCCGTGCACTCAAGCCTTAAAAAATGAAGATACTATCCCTCAATTCCAAAGCTCGCGTTCGGTTGAAGGAAATTCCGCTTCCCAAGTAGCATTATTCAACGGAAAAATCGCGATATTTTGCAATTAGAATGCGATTTTTTTCCTGTTTTTGGCGTTAAAATCGCGAGGATCCTCATGATCTGACCAATTGTCCTCGACCTTAGCACGATCTTTTCTCCGTGTAAGATCGCGTTCCATAAAATCATAATTTTATCTCAATTTCCCACGATTTTTTGCTTAATAATATTGATTCAAATTTATGGCGATAAAATCGCGATACATTTTCTGATCAAATCGCAACTTATCACGATCATTGCTACTTGGATAGGGTACCCGGCGTTAATTGATACCCCTCATTTTTATAAAGAAACGTATAATGTGATTTCTTAGTTTCGTATACCTTGTTTATTGGATCTTTGGGAGGAAGGTGCGTTCGAAAGGCTGAGAGGATTTAACATTCGACTGCGTTAAGCAGAGAGGTACCAAACCACATCAGCCATTGCCAAATTTAACTCATTAATTTAATTTTTACAAAAGAACGTTTGTCCGGATTCCTTTGAAAATTTTAAGAAATTTGCTTCGCACGATGCAGAAAATTCACTAAAATTTGCACATTAATCCGCAAAAAAGTTTTCATATAAGTAATTAATGTGCTCAATTGAATTTTTCAATATCTGATGCGCATTGGTTCTTGTCTGCCGTGCTGAGGAAAAATGCCGTTTGAGTTTCCAGACGTTGCCATATCTTTTTCAATGAGCAACGGATTTTGGACATTTTTCTTCGAGTTTCTCAGAAAAATTTGTTCCTAATGAAATCTAAGATATTTGAAAATGTAGAGGAAAAATATGCACAACTTTCCCCACAAATGCATATTTTATTCGGAGAAATTTGGCAACTCTCGAATGTTCGCAAGGCGTTCTTCCTTAACACGGCAGAAATGTCACCGAGTATTTGGTTGTGTTGCAGGAGCTGGAAGTGCCGGCGGCGGACGAGTTGAATCTGTACTCGCTGTCATTCGATGACTTCGCCTTGAACGAGCGGCAGATGCTCCTCGGGGCAGTCAGCATGTTCCTTGAACTCGGGCTCGTCAAGAGATTCGCAATCGATAAAGAGGTACGTAACTCATATCTTCGCTGAATCTGTACCCACTTCGTGCACTTTTCATCTTTTGAAAACACAGTAAAAAACGGTACAATCAAACTAGTAATTTTGTACACGTATAATGGACCACTAGACAAGGTACGAATTTAAGCGATCTGATCCATCTTTCTTAACCAGAATTTCACGTAGAAAAAGATTCACACAACGAAAATTACTGAAACCAACTCCTAACGAAGATATTAGCGTTTTTATTTCACATTGGTTACGAGGAATTTGAACTGCCCGCTCACAAGAAACTCAAAGCTCTACGTGAGTCAAATCGCCCACTACGACGGTTTCAGCAAGCTCCTCAATCGAGCAATGTTCATTTCCCACCATGTGTTCTTCAAACTATTAGAAATTTGCTATAACTGAGCCAAAGCGTCAAGATTGAGGTTGCTAGATTTTTATATCGCAGAGACTGTCATGATAACGTTTAGCGCGCGATGTGAATCACGTAGAGCATTGAGTTTTCATGAGCGGGTGATTTGAATTCACGCATCAAGAATCAATAAATATCTTCGTAAGGAGTTGATTTCGGTAATTTTCTACGTAATTCTACGGTATTCTACGTAAAATTTTGGCTGAGAAACATGTATCAGAATGCTGAATTTCATACCCTGTCTAGTGGTCCATTTCTCAATAGGAGACTGCGAATTCCATAATTCATGTGCTTTTAGATAATTTGTATTCTCTGACGATAATTCGTTGCTTAGAACCCTTGTAAATTTAATTTACTTCAAGTAGCTGGATACAACTCAGACAGTTTCGCGGTAGTAGTGATATTTTAAATACAACTTTTTTTTAAAAAAAAAAAAAAAACTCTTAATCTTATGTTTTTCACTTAAATTTTACGTACATTTTAAGTCAAATATCTCAAAAAAAGTTTCCAATTCATACATTTTTTATTCCTCTTTTCGGCATTATTTTAAAAATTCTTAATAGTCACTGCAACGAAGGAATTTTCATTTACAGTGCGGTTATGCCGTACTTTGCGATATATCGACCATTGCAGTCATTTAAACCTATGGAAAAGGACCAATGAGCAGGCTGTTCGCAACAAACACCTTAATAATCGATTATTTACCACTGCTCAAATGGAGAAGTATCGATAATATCATTCACGCCTCGCTACTGATATCGTCATTTCCCGTATTAATACAAGAGAAAAAGAACCAAGAAAATCGCAGTCTTTGGTTTTAAGCACAAAATATAAAAGGTAAAATTGAAGTGCTTTGGAAATCATAAAATTTGACACAGAACCACCTTAATATTTACAAAACACACATTATATTTTCGTTTAAAACATTTTTTTTTCATCAATTTAAATGAGAATTATCCATGCTAAGCGTGCAAACATTACAAAATCATGGTTGAACAACGCTGACTCCGCGAGTTTAGATATTAGAGCCACACAGAGCGGAGCTGTTCACGGCGCGCGGCGCGGCGTGCTGCCAGCGCGGCATGCTCAACAGCGCCTACAAACCTAACTGGGATACTTCACGCATTGCGCAATGCGTGAAGTATCCCTGTTAGGTTTGTAGGCGCCAATGCGCGTGTCGCCCTCGCCCGTCACGCGCTGCTGCTTGCCACGGCGCTTCAAGCAACTATTTCGAGACAGAATTGTTGCACGGTATCATGCGAAATTAAAGGCGCTCCAACGTATCAAGAATGTCAGGCATCCTTTAAAGGAGCTTTCCTCGCAAAATAAATCAAGATACTACGGTAAAAAAAGAGAGCAGTAGTCCAAAAATTCACCAAGTCCTAGCATCCGTATTTAATAACGTTTAGCATAATTTTTGAATTACATTAGAGAGAAAAGTGACTCGTTTTAGGTAGAAACATTCTTGAGTATGCCGCCAAGAAGATTTTATTTTGAATCAAGGATAGAATCGCTGAATGAAAACGGCTTTCTGCTTGATATGAGTGACTTTTCCTCTCTAAACAAGCATTATTTTCTTTACTGATTCAGAAATAAATCTTTTCTGCGCTGAATTTGAGCATATATCTGTTTGAATAAAGTCACTTTTTCCTCTGATGAAGTTCAAAAATCATGCCGAACGTTATTGAGTACGGATACTAGGACTTAATAAGTTTTTCGACAACCGCTCTCTTTTTGTAGTCGTCACTCGATTTAATTTGCGAGGAACTTCTTGCCTTCGATGCCATCAATCATGATACATTGGGGTGCCTTCAATCTCAAATGATATTGTGCAACACCTCCGTGACGAAATAGTAGCTCGAAGCGCAACGGCACGCCGGCACTTCGAGTGTTTAATGTGATCGAGATAGATGTGAGCGAGAGAACTTCCGTAAGATTTTAAACGAATCATTCTACGAGGATACGCAGAGCGCCTTATGGTTGCGTCATCACAATGTTATTAATACAATTTTGCACGCCCAAAAACATCGTAAAAGCGTTGAGATTCTTCACCCTTAAACATTTCAATCACTTAAATATGTGACGTCAACAAACACACACACACACACACAACTGGAGATTCATGTAACAAAGAGCCGCGATTGGCCCAATTTATCGCTAGATGAAATCAGAAGTTATTACCCACCTTGGGAAAGAGTTGGCTATAAATAGATATTCGCGCTCATGAAACTTTCGATTTTCTAAAGCTCACATCCACCACCTACGCAGCAGTAACGTCTGCACACACATTCTCTCTTTTTGAACCTTCCTCGGGATTTATCACATCAGCTCTGTTAGTTTTCTTCGAATTCGTCACCTCTTTGATTTTACACGTGTAGAGAATGCGATTGGAATGCCGACAACTCTATTTCGCAGAGTGAAAGGCTGGAAACTTGAAGAAAGGATGAAGAGTCAATAGCAGTGGCGAGACGTGAATGATCGATTTTTGATTTTTCCCTGTTTAAAGTTATGATAAAAAAACGATTATTAAGGTATCCGTTGCGAACACCCTGCTTATCGATCCTTTTCCATTGGCTTAAATGGCATATCAATCGATACATCGCAAAGCACGCCACGCCACTGGTTAGTAGACCGTTCAGCGCCAAGTCCAGGATGACGAAGGTATTTGGAGCAACGTGAAAGTAATCTGCGATAAAGAATGTCAAAAACCACGTCTCTCGATTTGCGACCTTCGCAATTTTCTCAGCCGTTTTAATATTTGGAAGATAAACTAACGAGCAATTTCTATTAGTATTTTACTGCTGTTTCCTTTGTTTTAAACAAAATATTCAGTAAGAATTTCCAGCAATAACGTTTTTTTATTTTCTTCAATTGCTCTAAATGCCTAAAATGCCTCAGTTTTTAAATGTTGAAAATTGCAACACGATTACCAAGCTTCACTGCAATTTGTCAACTGAGCAAACAAGTGAAGAGTCTATCTTGATGCTACCGTTCCATTTTTCAGAGGAAAACGCGCAGTTTTTCAGATTCATCTAACCAACAAAACATGTGGAGTGTCATAACCAAAGATTTATCCTATGCTCTCTATTTTCACTCTAATTTCATTTCGTGCCCGAAGGTTTCTATTTCCTGTCAATTTTGTTTCAGACCCTGTACAAGTTTCTGCTGACTGTGAAGAAAAATTATAGAGACGTCCCGTATCATAATTGGAGGCATGCCTTCAATGTGGCTCAAGTCATGTTCGCAATTTTAATGGTGAGCTTGCGCTTTTTTAAACCTGGCATATATTTTAGTTTCACCTCTTCACAGGAACTTTAACTAACTGTTATAGAGGTCTCTCAGTTCTCGCCGTCTCATTACTGCACGCGAAAAGAGAGAAAAGAAGGAAAAAAGAGGAGTAGCTGCAGAATGAGGCAAAGTAAAAAACGAGAAGATTTAAAAAAAGCTCGTCGATTATTCGCAGCTCTGCAGGCCGTAGATGTCAATTCTCCTACTTCAAATGGTAGGTTTCGGTGAATTGTGTGCCTTTTCAGTAGAACGTCATCCGAAAATTCGATAAAGGTTCACCAAAATGCGATTTCATGAAATTAATGAGAGAACTAATGAAAAAAAAAACTAGGAAGAAGAAACGTGCCGTAAAAGCATCTTAGTTAAAACAAACAATTATACACTTAAAATAGGCTAGAAAATCGTCAGAATGGTCTAATTCACCACCACGCTGGATTTGGAGTGCACCTTACAAAACGATACCACCATTCGTGCTCATAGGAGTGCGGGCAGTATCACACACATTTGAAGGCGATTGCTGACTCAGAATGATTTTATTGTTCCAGAGTACCTTTTCTACGTTTGAAATATGACTGCTTTGTTCGACTTTCAATTGTTTGTCCGGATTTGTGTGGGCGTTCCCCTTTTCAAAATGGGAGATACAAATTATTTTGGGAATTGAGGATTGCCCTGATAAAAAAAAAGTAATTTTATCTCGTGTATTTCTCTTTCAAGTTTTGAATAATGAGTGAGTCCGTTGGTCTATCGCACCAAGAGATACAGTCAATCGAGTATATTTTCAACTTCATTCTGGGGCTCACACGATAGATTTTATCAGAAAAAGTAACTGAAATGTGTCTCTTGGCGTAATTTTTGGAATTTTCAAAACAGAATTTCTTTGCCGCACAAGATTAAAATAAGAAAATCCGGAAAAATTACTAGAAGCTTAATTCACTCCGTGTTCTAGGAGATAGGGTGAAAAAATGGCTGCCACTGAGCCATTACTCTCTTAAATTTTCGGGTAAAACCTGTAATTTTGCTAAATGGAGAATTTGCAGGTGCCTTAAATTTTGTGAATTTCACCCTTAAAATGATACTGCTAGGAAAACTGAGTACGAGGATATTCTTGGTTTCGAAATTGAACAATTATTGGAGGAAATAGGACAAAATACCCGAATTTGCCGAAATACATGTGTTTAAATGGAAAATGACGCCAGATGACGTCATAAGGCGGTACATTTTGCCACTTTTAAATTTATTTTTCTCCGATTTCCCATGTCAGAAATAAATTATGAAAAATGCTGCGAACTCAGCTCATTAGGCACTCTCAGATGAAGCAAGAAAATGTGTGTGTGCAAATTCTCCATTTGCTAGATATCTCGATACTTAATTGCTTCTGGTGTAGATTTGCCTTAACACAAGTAGCAGTGATCGCGATATGTTGCGATTTGATCCGAGAATATATCGCGATTTTATCGACGCCTATCTATCGCAATATTATCGGACAAAAAATCGTAATAAATTGAGATAAAATTTCGATTATATCGAACGCAATTTTATAGAAAAAGAATTCCGACAAGATGCTAATGATCCTAGCGATTTTATCGCCGAAGAATCGTAAAAAAATCGCAACTTAATTCCAAAACATTGCGATCTATCCGTCGAAAAATGCTACTTTGGTGTACGAACGAACTGTAATTGAGAGGCTTAGGATACAAGGCGCATAAGTACAGTTCTTGCTATTTCATGAAATACGCGTATATTCAAAATTACATGGGGCCTAATGGCAGAAAGGAAATTAAACTCAATTTTTGATGCTGAAAAGCTGGATTTTAGTCGTAAATTTTTCACAGAATACGCTTTCAAAATAGTACTAGTTGAGTTCATGGATATCTCAATTTTTCAAAAACTGCATTTATGCGCCTCATCCTCTAAGCTCCTCAATTATCGCGTCACAGCGTCTCGATGGCAACGCGGTAGCGGAGTTATGCAAGGGCGGATTAGCGCAACTGATTTAAAAGCGTTTAATGGGAATTATTCACCCGCGGAGCTAGCGGAAAACTCGGTTGGCTCCGACAAAGCAGCCTGAAAGTTGCTCGATTCAAGTTTAGTTTTAATCTCGTAGGGCCCTCCGGAGTTTTTCCTGGCCGAGAAAGAACGCAGGCTGAAGGTGAAGGTGGGCGAAATGAAAAAGGCGCAATGCGCTCCCCGAGCGATACTTCATTTTAATGGATTCATAAGGCCGTGTCAAATCGCGAATATCCTCACCCTATACTCCCGTATTTAGAAACAACGCCGTATGAACATTCGATAGTTGCCAAATTTTCCCGGATAAAACCTCTGGTAATATTTTATTTATTAAAAGGAGACCTAACCGCAATATCATGGCTTGTTGTTATCACAGAATGTTCTTAATAAAGAGAAGAAAAATCACTGAAACTTTGAAAAGATGACGATCATTAGTTTCTCTGTGGAAAATAAAGGAAGGCAACGCCGGAAACCGAGTTACGCATTTCTACAGTTTCACCATCAATGTGTTGGAGAGAAATAGTCCAATCAGGAATTTTATCAAATGCCTAGGCAGATAGTCAAATTTTGAAAGTTTACGAATTTTGTATTTGTTTTTACGAGGGGCTTTCAAACTCTAGAATTTCGAAAGTAAGGATTTATCAATGAAAATCATAGGATTCTCCCTTTCAAAATGCTCTCATACTTTTAATTGTGAAAATTGCAGCAACGTTTTATTTTCAAAAATGCATCATATTTTAAAATCAATATTCATTCCTGGGCTAAAAATCATTACGGCAACCAAAGAATGATGCAAATTTTTAAATAAAATTCCTACCTATGGATACTAATAATTATTCGGTCTAAAATTAGTGCAAGAGGCAGGATTCAATGCGAGCGGCAATGTTTAACACTTTATCTAGGCATTTGACAAAATACCTGATTCGATTATTTGCCTGCGATACATATTTTATCTTGAAATATTAGATTAAATTGCGAACAAAACTGTGTGAAAAATTTGAAGAAAAGTTTTCACAATTTTCCTAGTGAATTCGGTTTTTACTGTAGGAAATATAGCAACGTCTAAAGGGTCGCACGGCATTCTTCCCTATCGCGAGAGCATAGCGCCCCCTTCACTGCCTCGACCTCCGAAGTTGATCTCAACGCCTCGTTACAACTTCATCTTTGCCCGGCTTATTAGCGGATTTATCCACGAGCTCTTGCACGCTTCCATGCGCCGCCGTTTCCGCGGGAAAAAATAAAATAACAGGAAAAACTTTCGCCAGTGGAGCTCTTGTAAGAGACTTTGCGGAGTAATTAGTCCCTATCGTGTAAAATTTTACATGGGATATGTCGACAGCATCAACTCCGTCGGAAACTCAATAAGAGGCTTAAAAAAGGCGTGCAAAGTTGAGGTCAAATTATGTGTTGAAGTTGAGGTCGGATTATGAGCAAGGCCAAGCCAAGTCCATCTCTGTATTTCGCTTCTTCTATGTGCGCACAATTGTTGGAGGAGGGGAGGAGGGGTTGTTAGTCGCTCTCTAACGCGGCGCTGTTTTAACTCCTCCGATTTTTTTCTTTCTCCCTCTCTTTCGTAATATCGTCACCTTCCGGCTGAAGTATCACAAGCGCCATGCGACTTTTAAAGATATCCGCCGCCATTTTATTTTTTTTATAGAGCCGATTTTATTTTAAAATATAGCCGATTATTTTTTTTTTAAATTTTTTTTTCTGCTGCCGATAAAATTCAGCGAAATTTTTCGGACAGATTCAACCAACAATTTCTCTGTGAAAAAATAAAATGACGGCTGAAATTTTTAAACGTCGCATGGTGTCTGTGATACTCGGCAGGGGGATGACGATATAATACGTGACGTAATCAGGGCAAAGTATGCCTTAAAGTGGGCGAGAGAATGAGAAAAGATAAAGAGATATGAAAAAGAAAGAATGATGAAGAGAACGAGATAATTTCACTGCGGGGAGAGGGATCAATTCGTTGTTTCCCGAACCAAGGAATGTAACTTCATTCCAAGGTTGCAAAATTGACTCAAACATTTTAATTGTTTACAAGAATGTACTTGTGCTTTTTTCGTCTAAAGTTTTTCTGATTTAGCCAGAGATCAGAAAAAAAATCAGTGAAATTATCAGTTAGAAAAGCCCTAGATTCTTTCAGTAAAATTGCAATTTTCGAGGAGAAATTCGGCAACATTGATGTAGTTACGTTCTTTCGTGAGGGATGCAACGAATTATGCATCATTTGGCGTAAAGATGCGAACACCCGAAAATTCCAAAAATTGACCCTTTGGCAGCAATTCAAAGTCTGAAGTTCAAAAAGGGGATATTCGAAACACCCACGAGTGAAGTTTGCCGAAGTTGTTGCCAGTCATAGAGAAAATTCATTTCTAACGTTGAAAACATCATCACATTTATGCGAATATATGTATAGCTTGAAACTCTGTCCCCGCGTTCTTGAGACTTAAGTAAAAGAACGTTAAGCATTGAAAACCGCGGAATTTAATATTGTCCACTTGAAACCGGTTTTTTGCTGAGCTGCGGAACAGTATGTGTTTCTACCCTAAGCCATATTTTGCCTAACGCCTTCACAAATAACTTAGTATCTCTTTCTGCTTTATTATTCGTAGATGAAAAGGTCCTGACAGCTTAGGGCGAGATACGATGTTCCCACCAAATGCTTTTCCATGACTGACCGCCGCATTTAAAGTATCAAATCGTCGCCTACCAGACTTAGGGGCGTAACTACATTCGGCAATAGACCTTGTCCTCCATACAATTCAATGCTTTTCCGGGCTCATCGCAAATGGGTCTGTTGCATGCAAGAGATACAGCCGCGCGAATAAACTTTTTAGAGGTTAAATGACACGAAAATTACGATGGTCACATTAAAAAAGTCTGAAATACACTCCTTACTGCGCAATTTGCGTTGTTAGGAGCGCGCTTTTTCAAATTTCCCGCGTCTGGGGGCAGTTTTCTAATCACCGGAAACGAGAAAACGGCGGGCTCGGTGATTTCCGGAAGATGCCGAGTCGTTGTTGTTATTTTTTCCTTCAGTTTGTTTACAAACCCAACGTGATCCATATATCTCAACGTGGTAGTCCATATACGCTTAATGCGGTGACCAAATCGATCAACTTTTAAATATCCAACGCAATCCTTCTACATTTCATTTCACGATATCACGAGCTCCGATGTTTAGGTTATGTTGTCAGTTTAAGTTGACCGGAAATAGCCGCGAGATGCCGTTAATTGTTCCCGTTAGAAAACTGCCCCCAGACGCGGGAAATTTGAAAAAGCGCGTTCCTAACAACGCAAATTGCGCAGTAAGGAGTGTATTTCAGACTTTTTTAATGTGACCATCGTAATTTTCGTGTCATTTAACCTCTAATAAGTCTATTCGCACGGCTGTATCTCTTGCATGCAACAGGCCCATTATCGTTACGCCCTTATGTCAGCCAAGCGATTCCTGGTAAAAATTGGCGATAGGAGCTGCGTTTCAAAATACCAGAGGAGTTCTTAAAGCCGACTAAAGAAGGCTATTGAAAATCATATAGCTGGCTGTAGAAAGCGGAGCAAATCATATAGCCGGGCTATACGAAGCTATAAAAAAGTATACAGTCGCGCTATAGTTTCCATCGCCGGGCTTTACACTTTATCGCCATTGGCTATAAAAGGCTATAGGAAATTGTGTAGAAATTCGTGTGCTTTGGAAATCATTAAGTTTGATACGGAACTACCTTAATATTTACAAAACACACATTATATTTTCCTTCAAAACATATTTTTTTTTTCATCAATTATAATGAGAATAATCCATACAGAGTGTGCAAACATTTCAAAATCATGAGTTGCAAAACGCTGACTCCGCGAGATTAAATATTAGAGCCTAACACAAACGGAGCGGCGACGCACTGGCGCCTACAAACCTAACAGGGATACTTCACGCATTGCGCAAACGCGCATTGACTCCTACAAACCTAACAGGGATACTTCACGCATTGCGCAAACGTGCATTGACGTCTACAAACCTAACAGGGGTACTTCACGCATTGCGCAATGCGTGAGGGCATCCAAGAGCAAGTGCTGACCGTGGCTCATTTAGAAATGCACTTCGATGGCCAAAGTGCGAAACCACGTATCTCCATTGCAGTGTTTCAAGATGTCTGCTCCTGTTTTATTTTTTCGAAGAGGAACAGACTCACTCCATGGCTTGAAATTCATAAAAAATATTCCGAAAATGGGAAAGAAAAATCAAGGGAGTTTTAAAGAAATTACGTCGTCTAGTTTTTCTATGAAAAACCAAAATATGACGGGAAGTCTGCAACGTCGCAAATGTAGATAAGTGGTTTTGCACATTGGATATAGATTTTATTGTATCCGAATATTTGCAAATTATTGGTATTCACTCTCGATTACTATGAAATTGCCGCCGCTCTTTCAACAAAATTGTAACTTTATCAGAAATATTGTAGGTGACTCGGCTGTTCGGGAATGTCTAATACAATGTTATTCTACTTAATTTAAGTAATATACAGTGTAGCTACTGCATTATACTCGACTATATTTTAAAATAGATCTCATCTTACGATTTTTAACGTTAAACCCGTATTTTCCAGGGCTGTGAAATGAAAGGCACGTTCAGTGACCTTGAAGTATTAGGCATGTTCGTTGGATGTCTCTGTCATGACCTAGACCACAGAGGGACCAATAATTCCTTCCAAGAAAAGTGAGTTCATGCTTTTGTCTTTCCTTGTTTACGGGTACTTACCCAATCATTAGGTGAAAAATATGAGGATGCGCGTACAATTGGACTACGTTTTACAATTAGGAACTACAATTCCTGGCTCGGATTAGTAACAACGTATGCACCATTAGTTTATCTGTGCACATATGTGTTTTTATAGACGACCCAGAAGTTGTAGTTCAGAATTACAAAAATATAGTTCGATTGGATAGCATGACTCGTTATAGAAACGGAAATTATGCAACCTCCCCTGTAATGCTTGAGCATGTTTTTGTACATTCAATATTTCTTAACAAAAAAGTTGTTGCAAGTTTTGTGATATTTTGGGATAAAAAAGAAAAACACCCCGATAAATATATAGATGGAATGAGTGAACACTGCATGCTCTGGTCTCCATGAGGAAACTAAGGTGAAGGATGATTTATCTTCAAACGCAACTATTTGAACTCCAAAGCTTGTTTAGTGCCTATCTTATCTAAATGAAGGCGTTTAATCGCGAGTTATTCCAGACAATTTTTTCAATGTAATCATTTTTTACATCGCTAATGAAAGTATCAAACCGTGCATCTCCGTTTACAACGTTGCGGGTCACCTATCAAAATTTAATTTTTTGAGACATAATTGATTATTGTTATTGGAACACATTTTTGTGTAATATTTCATTGCCCCTCCAAGCATGTTCCCTGAAAATTTCGTATAAAAATTTTCAATTAAACTCTTCAACAAAGATATAGAGGAGCAGAAATTTTGAAATACCGCAATCAAGACGCATGTTTTCCTAGTTGCGCCGTCGAAATTATGTGCTTTAGATTCCTTGTGTTTCCAAGTTTAGCCTTTGATTTGCAAAGCAGGACTCACTCGCTTAAAAGAGTGAGCAATAAAATGCAAAAAACTGGCAAATAATTGCATCGTAGATCGAGACGTCATGTAAAATGATGTGCGTTTTTCTGTCTTCAGAGCCGGTTCGGCGTTGGCACTCCTTTACGGAACAACAAATACAATGGAACACCACCATTTCAATCATGCTGTTATGATCCTCAGTAGCGAGGTGAGTCAGTTAAAAAAATTATGGCAGTCGTTAATTTTCATTATGTCATCTATCTCCGTATCCAACAGCGAAACCACAGCTTGTGACGTCAAGTATCGAACGTCGGACCAGTTAAAATTGTCCACACCTGTGCACCAGAAAAAAAGAAAAGAAAATAAGAAAAGGAAATAAAATAACCTGTGCGTCTGATTTATTCATGTTTACTTACAGTTAGATAATTTCAATACAATATTTTGAAGCAATTGCGTTGACTTTAATTCAAGCCTGCAATTTTGCAAAATTAATTCAAGCTATAGGTCATAAGCTGGGACTATCCTTCTGGGTAATTCTTTCTTTTCTTTTTCAGAATTTGAACATTTTTTCATCGCTATCAGCTGAAAATTTTGCTTTAGTAATGAAAGTGCTTAAGCATAGCATACTGGCGACTGATTTATCAACCTACTTTGAGTAAGTAAAATTTTTAAATTTCTTATTACCTCCGACTGAAGGAAAAAAATTATAAAAGAAAAAAAATTAACCGCAATTTTTGGGAGGGATAAAATAAGTAATAAAACATGCAAAAAATTGGGGTTTCAAAGAATTTCTCCTAGTTCCACGCCCAATTCCCTCTTAACCTTATACCATCTCCTGGAATATACACCGCGGAAATTATCGGGGGGCTGAAACTGAGTTCCCCTTCTTTTTGGTTGGTAGGCAATATGCCTCACACAATTTCCTGAGCACCTTTCACTCTATTTGAATTTACTCCAGGGAAATTATAAGAAAGTCAAAACTGAGGTTTTTCTTTATTTTGGTGGTAGCATTCTAAGCAACTTGGAAAATAAAGTTGTATTACTCAATTTAAAATTGCAAAACGGATTTGTACAATCCGATGCGGGCGAAGGTGAAATATTATTTGGATTCCATTTTACAAAAAGGAACCAGGGACATTGCGATGTTGCCAAGATTGTGCAACTTCTTTTGTCTTAGAAGAAAAATCTGATTATCCATTTGCAGTTTCTATTTTACTCGCTAAAAACCGTAAATTTAAGACACTAATTACCATGTAAATTTCATATTTTTTCAAAGTACAGTAATTTCATTACAAACCATGAACATGCACAACCTTACTATCATTGCAATCCTCTGGTTCCTTTTTGCAAAATGCGATCCATTTTTCTATGACTATTTTTTAGAGCATAAGAGGCACGCCTGCTTTCTTTTATAGGGCTTTTAGGTTTCATTCTTTTTCTGGTTTTTTTCTTTTTCTTATCCATAATCGGTGCATTAAAATGCATCGAATACAATTTTAAGCATATTAAGAATTCTATTTTCACATACTGCATGACAGTGATAAGACATGATATTTGTTCCTTTTTGGTGAAAAAGTTCCATAGCATTTCGTGGAATTCTCAGGTGCTGGTATCCGCAGCAAATGACCCGAGAATTCGACAAGGAACTTTGACTCACGATAATTTTTTCTCAAAAAAGTCCAAATTTTACCCTAGTAAAAATGAGTTCAATGCTATGAGGTGTATACTGAAGATTGACATCGATGGTCAAAGTGCAGAACCACTTAACTCCAGATTAAGTAGTGGAAAATTTATTTTTCCAGAGAAAAACAAGCCAACTTTAGAGCTTAAAATTCATCCAGTGCTAATAGTGCTACTCAAGTAAGATTCCAAAAATGTACAAATTTGGCTAGTTTTCCGAAGAGAAAATAAAGTGTGGATAACAGAAGGTCTGCAGCGACGCAAACGTAGATACCCATAACGTGGTTGCGCTCTTTCGCCATCGATATACTTATGATTTGTTTCATTTAGACTGTTGATGGTCTTAGCTGAGTCAAATGAAAAATTTCATTTAATCTCATTTTGCATTTCAAAAAACTAGTTGCATGATTTTTTTTTCTTTATGTGCGAAACAAATGGACTACTAGCCAAGGTGCGAATTCAAGCATTCTGATACACGTTTCTGGACCAGAATTTCACGCAAAACACAATTCTCCCATCGAAATTTCGTAAAATCAATTCCTAACTAAAATATTACTGCTTTTAGTTTACATCGGTTACTGGATATGTGAATTTCCCGGTCACACGGAACGCAATACTGTACGTGAGTACAATCGCGCACTGCAATAATATTGGCGGGCTCTTTAATCGAGCGGGTTATCCTCCCCGTGCCGTGTTAACAACGTGCAACAGTTGAGCCGATGCACCGAAATCGAGGCGGTCATATTTTCATATCGCAGAGACTGTTACGGTAGCGTTCAGTGCGCGATTTGACTCGCGTAAACCACTGCGTTTTCAAAAGCGGAAGGTTTGAATTCACGCGTCAAGAAACATTAAATAGACGCATTTATGCCAAACGGAACCATAGACGGGTTAGGAAGATGGGGTGTGCTCTAGAAAACTGCATAAGAAACAATGTAAAAGTGGGCGTGATCCTTTATGGGGGAAATGGAAAAGCGGGATTTTACATTAAATCATACGGAACTAAGCGCCAACTTCATGTGGCACCCATGAGCCGCGGGCATGTAACAAAAGCGTTGTGGACAGGGCTCATGAGTTAATGCGACATCGTTGAGCTCGTCGAGCCCGGTTGTCGCCGCTGACGTCACTGGCGCTTTATATTTCCCATTCATTCTTACGGCCCTCAACTATGAGCACACTTCTTCTTTCCCAACTGCCTCTGGTTCCGTTTAGCATGAACGTCCTAATATCTTGAATTTCAGTAATTTTTGTTGCGCGAATTGTGTTTTTCGTGAAATTTTAGTTGAGAAGCATGTACCAGAATGCTCAACTTAGCACCCTATCTAGTGGGCCATTCTGAGGAAACCTCCCCAAGTAGCACAGATTGCAATAAGTAGCAATTACACAGTAAAAATATTTCAATTCAACTGAGTGTTGTGTATGTTGCGTGCTCTTATTTGAAGGGGCCCCATTTATTGAAACTTAATGCAATGAAATAGAAATAAGCTGCAATTTTTCATTGCATTGCATATTGCCTATCTTTCTGATACACGGAGCTCATTTTTTTTATTTTAATAATTTTTTAATAATTTTTTTGTTTGATTGCATAAATCGACTAAATGATGTAAAAATATTGCAACTTATTGATAAAAAAATTACAATTTAAAAATTTCAATATTTTCGTTGCACCCTGCTACTCTGCCGTGCTGAGGAAGAACGCCGTATGAACATTCGAGAGTTTCCAAATTTTCCTTGATAAAACATTTACTTTAGAGGACATTTAAGCACATTTTGCCTTGAAACTCCCAAATATTTTAGATAAAATTGCGTGCAAAATGGTGTGAAAATTTTGAAAAAAAAACATTCACAATTTTCCTAGTGAATTCTGTTTTTATCGAAGGAAATTCGGCAGCATCTGAAGTCTCATACGGCGTTCTTCCTTAGCACGGCAGTTGGGTCAAGGAACGACGTTATGATTTTTTCTCCTTTTGCATCTGAGACTGAGAGGAGGACTTTAACGCGGGTTTTCCCTTCTCGAATGATTCAGGTTGCGACACAGGTTTTTTGCCTTGGTGGAGGACCACAGCTACAGCTGGGATCGCGAGGATCACAGAGAGCTTCTGCGCTCGATGCTCATGACAGCGGCCGATCTGGCAGCCTCCAGCAAACCGTGGGAGGTCCAACAGAAAGTGGCCACTCTCGTCACCACCGAGTTCTTCTGTCAGGGGGACAAGGAACGCAACGAACTCAAGCTCCAGCCGCAAGCACTCATGGACCGCGAAAAGCAACACGAGCTTCCTCAGCTCCAAATCTCTTGGATTACAGAGATATGTCTCCCGCTGTATCGAGTAAGTCTTGACGTCATTTCGTCGCCTACCTGGCATAAGGGCGTAACTACGCTCTGCAATGGACCCTGTCTTCCATACAATGCAATGCTTTTCCGGGCTCATCTCAATGTGTGGTTACGCCCTTATGTCAGCCAAGCGACGATTTCATAGGCTTGCCTAAATCGAGTCACTTATTTCTCTAATGTAATTCAAAAATGATGCCAAACGTTATTAAATACGGATGCTAGGACTTGGCGAGGTTTTGGACTACCGCTCTCTTTTTGTGGCGTAGTATCTTGATTTATTTTGCGAGGAAAACTCCGTACTTTCAAACCTCTGTTGCGAAATAGTTGCTTTGAACCGCCGTTGCACGCCTCGGCGCGCGGCAGGTGACGGCGACCGGCGCGACACGCGCTCTAGCGCCTACAAACCTAACAGGGATACTTCACGCATTGCGCAATGCGTGAAGTATCCCTGTTAGGTTTGTAGGCGCCAGTAGAGTCCCTTTATACTCCAATAAACCATTTTCTTCCAAATTACGCCAGCTTTTCGAAAAATGAACTAAATCCGGATTTTTTTCTCATGCGTACCTAGCCGCTAGTTTCAAAAAATCGCAAAAAAGGCCTTTTTAGGCCATTTATTAAAAATGGCGGCAGATGCACACCAGATACGTGTAAGGAAACTTCAGATTCGGATTCAGCAACCCAAAAAGCATAAAATATGCCATAAAATAGCTGTGTACTCGAAATTCCAGGTAGCTTCATTTTTAGCTACCAAACGTCTGGACTATGAGTAGCAAAATATTCTGTATGAATTTCAATAAAGTCGGCTTGTTTCTCTAAATTAGAGGTGGAAATGAAACTCCGCGATAGAGGTACGCGATTGAGCACTTTGGCTATCAATTTTGGTATGCTCATTTACGTCCTTGCTGCCAGCTAATAATGTAGGATTATAGGGGCGTATTTATGCTAAAAGGAACTATGTGCATAGGGTTTGCGTGAGACATAGTTCCTTTTGGCATAACGACGGTGAAACTACCAAACCACGTATCTCGTTTGCGGTGTTTGAAAATCTACGCTCACATTTTATTTTTTTGAAGTAGACCAAATCAATATTATTCCTTGAAATTTTCACAGAATTTTCTCCGCACGAAGAGGAAAAATCACAGAAATTTTCAAGACTGGACGTTAAGTAGTTTTTCATTTAAAAAATAAAGTAGGTATGACAGGAAGTCTGCGACGTCGCAAACCGAGATACGTGGTTTGGTAGTTTCACCGTCGATAAATACGTTCATAGGTAGTCTGCACGGGCTGCATACGAGATAAATTGATGATTCGATGGTGGAACTTCCAAATGACGTAGGTATACCTCGGTTTGCATCGTTGCAGACTTCCTGCTGTACTTTATTCTTCAATGGTGAACTCCTCAACGTCAATTTCAAAAACCTTCCATGATTTTTCTTCTCCTGTGCGCAGCAAATTCTGAGCAAAGGTCAAGGATGATATCGATTCGTTCTCCTTCAATGAAAAGAAACAAGAGTGCGGAGATTTTGAAACAGCGCAAACGAGATACGTGCTTTGGGAATTTCACCGTCGAAATACAATACAACTGAGATAGAATGCAGATTCTGTTTTGACAACTACGAGAACATCGATAAGCGACTTGTCAATGAAGTCAAATACTTTATATATTGATGAAAAAGGAGAAAAAGTATACCGAAACACGCATATTATTTAATAAAGTTTATTGGCTTGTTTTGTTTTAACTGCTTGCTGAAGATCCCGCCCGGCAAAATTACGTTGTGGCAACGTTGCCAAAACGTTGCAATTTCGCCATTCACGTATTCGGGCAACGTTGTGGTAACGTTGCCACAACGTGTAATTTTGTCAGCTTGCATGAACGTAATTGGCAATGTGTCTGCAATGTGTTTTAGCAACATAATGGGAATGTTGCAAAAATACGTTTTAGCAACATAATGGGAATGTTGCAAAAATACGGTGAAAAAATTT